GAATATAACGAGATGAAACACGACTCTTCTATTATACACGTTGCATTTTAGTCGAGAGTCTCCTGACATTTACGGAAAGAAGGGAAACGAATAAGAAGGTAAATCGCCTTCCAGTCAAACAGTTAGTCTTCACCATAAGATCAAACTTTAAAACATTCGTGATGAATAGCTCCTCGGAACATCTTCCTCTCTTTTTACTTTATTATAGTTTCAATATATATATACATATACACGCATAATCAATTTTCTCTTTTAGTTTCAAAAGTGAAACTGGAAAATTGATTTCTAGAAGGAAATTTGGAAATGTACAACACAAAAAAATAGCTATTTTCAAAACAACTGCTATTATATCAATGGATAACTAATAATTAGTTGAAATAACATAGTTTTTGCCTCAATCAGATAAATTAATAAATGCGCAGTAAATGTAACTGCTATTTTTACTAAAAATTAATTTTTCCTTACGTATTGAATTTTTTTTTTCCAAATCAAATTAAAGATTATGAATATATAATCAAAATGTAAATAAGAACTTTCTTTATCAAGGTTATAATAGCACCTGTCAAAATCAAGTTTTCCTTTATTGTAATATATCCTACGGGAAAATAGAATTATGCTATGATTCACTGATTTTATTCTCTGACGGAATTCTCTATAGTTTATTTACTAAATTTAATAACTAATCACTGATATTTCATTTCAATATTGTATTGGTATTCACAGTACTAATGCTTTATAGAACTGCGCCAATTTCAAACACACGTTGATTAGCTTTATTGACAGATTGATTACCCATTCAGGTATAAATTATCTAAAATTACGATATATATAATTATATCTTTTATAAATTACATGAAATTAAGTTTTTATTAGTTTTTTTTTATTATTATTTAATTTTTTATTTATTAATTTCTTTAAATTCTTCAATTTTATTTTTTATTTCTTCGTTTAAAAAATGTATTTGATTCAAATAAATTACTCGACTTTAAATAAATATTTACTTGGACGAAATAATTTTTATTTGAATTAAATAAATTGAATTTGTGCAGAAACAACACAAATCCGCATTTTTTTTTCGAAAATCACTACTTTATAGTTGAAGGGACGCTAAGGTAAAAAAAATTTTAGGTTATGTTTATAATTTTTGGAGTGAAAATATATAAAATCAGAGAAAATTAAAAGGCATTAAAATAAGCTGCAACACTTATTATTTTAATCCAATTTTGCTTATTTTAATCTATTTTGGTATTAAAATAAGCAAAATTGGATTAAAATAATAAGCGTTGCAGCTTATTTTAATACGTTATAATTTTCTGTGATACTTCTTAATACAAATCACTGATATTTGTCTTTGATCCAAAATATACAATAAAAACTGATTTTGATTTTACATAATTAAAAATAAAATTAATGTATAACTATCGCTGAACATAACCTAAAATTTATTTTATCGTAAGGTCCCTATCACCATGTCAGAACAAATTTAAAAAAATTGTGATAATACATTTATTTTATTCCATTTTTTGTGTTTTTCATTTCGTTTTCTGCAGAAACAGTACAAGAGTAAAAAATTTTATTTAATTTTTGAATTGATAAAAATTCTTGTATGAAGAACAAAAATTTGCCCTACCAGGGCTCTAGTAGGGAATGAAACGCCACATCTGATCAGAGCCAAATCAGGGCGACCAGAAAATGTGGATTTCCTAATCAGGGCCACATTAGGCGCGGCGTTTCACACCCTGATCCGGCCCCGATATGGGCCCTGACAAAATTTCTGCACGGCTTCTTGAATAATTTTTGATTTACAGACTTGTGTTGCTTCTGCACAAAACCAAATAATATTTCAGTATTTGCAACAAATTACAATTTAATTGACTCAAATAATAATTAAATAAATATTTATTTGATAAAATAAGTAATGAATCAAATAAATTTTTTTCCAGTGCAATTTTTGTTAAAATATTTAATTCTTCATTTGTTTAAAAATTCCATTTCTTGAAGCAACAATGAAAACATCAATAGAGAAGAGAATTTAAAATATGATTTTGAAATCATTTCCGACTTTTGTCATCGTAGATATATAAATACGTGGGTGTTTGCATTAATCATGAAAAATATTGTATTGTAAAACTCTGTGGAAATTTATTTCCTGAAAATATATTTTGTCACTGAATTTTTCAATTGTAAGAATGCATTTTATTGGTGTTATATGTAGAATCGGTTAATTTGAATTAATTTCATATATATAGCCTTCTAGAGCGTGTTGCGGCCACATCAGAGAGACAGTCTAGCCGCTCTATTGCCCAATATTTAACCGAGTTCGTATCGTACTCGAGAATTCCAACCAGCAGATGGAACGGATGATTCAGGATCGAGTACTTGGCTGTTTTAGAAAGGCGAAGGTAGAAGACCTTTCCGTATACGTTCACGAGTGCATGCTCATTTAATGAATACCACTACACAGTACCTATATATATATATATACTAGTGCAAAATCACAAAATTGGATGAAGAACCATTGCAATTTTCTTCAAAATCTTCATTTTCTTTTTTTATTTTCTTTAAATCAGAGATTCATTTGATAACCATTTTTGGTATTTTATTTATTATATAGCTTCATTTATATTTATTGGCAATTATAAATTTTATCTTGCGACATTATTTATGGAATTCTTGATAAATTTTCATATGGAAAAGGAATTTTCTTTTTTTAAGATGAAAATCGTATTCAAGTGCATTATTGAATGGGAGAAGCCAATGTCATCGGCATTTACCGATATAGACATGATTTATTGACACCATCATGCCAGAAGCTTCCGGATATAATCGTCGAATATAATCCGTGCTGAATCTTAATTTTTTTTTTGTTAAAAAAATTCACTGAAAGATTTTGCGATGAGCATTATTATAATGGCGTACTTTCACCTGATTAAAAGCGTCGTCGGTTTTATTCTCTTCTCTCCGTCATTAGATGTTAATCATTTGTTCTTATAATGCCAACTTTCGATGATATTTGAGAATTATTTTCTACTTTCATACTTTATATAAATTATTCCTATCTTTTATTGACTATTTTTTTTATTTTATTATATACTATTATAGTTTTATTAATCGGTTATATTTTATCTGTTTATATTAGTTTATTACTCGTATTTTTATTTATCTTAATATTTTCTTTTTTTTATGAGAAAGACATTTTTATATTAATTTTTACACTTTTAGTGTTAAATTATGATTATGGAAGCAATAGTTTAAATGGTTGGAATAATTATATCTTTATAAAACATATATATATATATAATATAATGATCGTCGAAGACCACTTACACGTCAACATCTATGTAATATTGTAATATACTCATACTTTCTCCAAACACCCCGTTTGAAAAACTAGTTTAAAGGTATAAGACCCAGCAAATTATCGCCCTGACTTTTCACCTTCATTGGATAATGACTCAACTTTCTATCTCACGCCTTATCATTTTTAAATCTGATGAGATGGCAGCAATGATAAGTCACTTGGATATATGTAACGCTATCGAAAAACTATCTCTAAATAAAAAAATACATTCAAATTAATGTCCTTTAAATGCTCTTTAAATCGTATAAATCATTCGAAAGCTTCATCTCCCTTTAAACTCGCGAAATTAAAAAGCTTCAATTGAATTAAAAATTATTTAAATTTGCTTTTATTTAACAGTAAATTTTAAATAAAGCAAAAAAATACTCGTTTGAATGTTTATTTGATAAACCAGTATTTACGTTCATCAAACATATCAATTGCAGTATTTTCATTCCTGTAAAATCTATTTTTTTTTTTTTTTATATATTTCATGTCAGTTTCAATTATTAAAATAAATATTTTTTTTTTTATTTTTAATTAATATTTTTCATTTACTTAAAAATTTTTATTTGCAAAAAGCCAAAAATTTTATAATAGAAAAAATATTCGAAATAAATATTGAAATATTAATATAGTCATATAGGAATGTAATAATCTAATGGTGCGTCAATCAAAATAATACAATAGAAATATTAATATTATGAAGAATTATACAATTATGGATTGCATAGTATTATGCATAATTAAATATGTAAATTTTTATAAAAAATATGTGTAAATGTCCACATGTAATAATAAATAAAATTTTCAAATAATGTCTATATATAGTAGATTGATTTTCTTTTAATTTGAATTTTGATATGTTGGGAACAACACTGACAATTCTTGTTTTCTCACGCTTTTACCACGGTACTTAAATAGTAATCTCAAGAGACAAAAACGTTATTCTCTCACAATCTAACATATAAGAGAAGAAAAATGTAATGGACCTGTAGAGGATAGTATCATCATCTTCTCACGTCAAATAGTGTGCAAAAGATTGTCAATTCGTATAAAAAAAAAAAATTAATTTAATATTGTTTTCTCTACACATCCAGAGAAAAGATTTATTTGAAGAAACCAATTTCTTTGACTTGTTTTCTTTCAAAGAAATTTGGACATTAAATCAAAGAAACATTTATTTGAATCAAATAAAATTTTTTTTTTCGAAACAAAGATAATTTTTTTTGCATCAAACATAATTTGTTTGAAATACATTTTCTTTGTATCAAAGAAAAATTTGTCAAAGAAATCTTTTTCTGGGTGCAAAGATTTTGATATTTTGAAAATAATTTAGTATAAATTTATTTATAATAATTTGAAATGTAGAAAAAATAAAATTAGAAAAGAAAAATAATTTAGATAATTATTTTTATAAAAAAAACTTTTTAATTTTTTTAAAATAAAAATTACTTAATTTACTTGTTCTATTTCTTGTTTTGAAAATTGTCGCAAAAAATCATATTAAAAAAAAATGTTATAGAGTGTTTGGTGAGACAGTAACGAGTGTTCTTTTTAATAGCCCGTGTAATTATTTCTCGAGTTTTTGTTGAATTTTTGACAAAAGTTGATTGATTTATATTCTCTCACTTTTTTTTTTTATTGTTGTATGTTACAGGCATAACACGTGCATGCCATTCACGAGGATGAGTTTCAAAACTGCATTTCTCTTATGTAAGTATTTAATAATTTTCAATATATTTTTTTGATAATTGCAAAAAAAATATTTTATTTATTTTTTTATTCCAGAGCAAAAGCCAACAAATGATTTAATCAAGCCGCGATTAATTTCGAATTTTCCAACTTTGATCCTATTATAACCGCACTTGCAAAGCTGATTAGCTATTATTAAACTCACTGTTTGAAACATCAATTTTCCATATTATTGTACTTGAAAAAATTATTCCAATCAAATATAGTTCAAGTTTATTAAAAATTAATTATTAGATTCAATTTATTGTTTATTAAAGAATTTAAACAACAAATTATTTAGATTCAAAGAAAATTTATTTAAATCAAAGAAATTTTCTTTGAATCAAAAGCCCCTTTTTTGTATAAAAAAAATGATTTCTTTAATTCAACAAAAACTTTTTTCTTGATAATTAGTTATTCAGTTACATATTTGATTGAAATAAGTTTTTTTGTTAATGAATTCTGATTTCTTTTTCATTATAATTGTAACATTATTATAATGTCTTATGAAAATAATTATTAAAGTCATCCCAAGTTGCATAACATACAGAGTTGAATAATTGAGAAATTTTAATAAAAATTGATATTCCAATTCGTAATTTTACGAAATACGAAACAATGATGAGAGAATATAACGATACATATATTATAAATTCAAATTTTTCTTAATTATGTATTTAATGAAACAGAAATTAAAAACACATCCTTTTTTGAGACATAAGTCCTTCATTTTAACGAATATATATGAAGAAATAAAAAGATCATAAATGAACAAAAAATTTCTTCGAAAATATATATATTTACATTTGTGTCGGAAAGTAAATAAAAAAAAAAAAACAATTGGCCAATTCAAGGACCTGTAATACAAAGTAGAAAATGTTTTAGGGCAGGATTACACATATGTAAATAGAAAATACTAGGCCACGGTCCAAAATTTAGGGTGTACTTTGGAGCATGACGATCAAGTATACGCGATATATACGTATGGGTCAACTACTGAAAATTAGGAAATCCTCCACTCGCTCTTTGTCTTCAATTTGAAATTCGTTGTTGCAATACCCCCTCCTCCATTATATAGCATATAGTTAGTGTTGGAGTTAAACGAAGAGGAAGATACGAAATTATTATGCCGGAACTAAAGTTGCAACCTGTACTTTTGAAAACTCGAAGCAATGACGAGCGTTCATATAATCTCCACGTCCCATTTGAAAGCGCATTTCGCGAATCGTAAACTTCTCTCTCACTCTTTTTTTTTTTGCAAACCAAAAAAAAAAAAAAATTTCATGTTCGCAAGTTTTCGCATTTTAAGCTCATCAGTTCGACTTACTTCGCGAGGGACGAGAGTTGAAACAAACTTCAGCCATTTATCTTGTTTCCAAAGAGACTCATTTCCGGACGTGCAATTTTCCATTCTGATTTCTGAACAGATTTGCATACGTTAATGAGCGTCGAATAGATAAAAGTCAATTAAAGGGTCATGATTATTATTATTTTTTTTTTCTTTCTAAAATTGTTTTTAATTTATTTTATAAATTTCTTTTCTGTAAATAATTTTTTTTTCTCCCAGATTTTCTCAAGTGAATAAACAAAGTTCAGAAGGGAGAATATATATATATCTAAATTCATCTGTTCGTGAATCTGTGGTTTCCGTCGATATCAATCTGTGGAAGGTTCCGAAAGTCGTCCACGATTTCACGTATAACTCGATTGGCATCGTAAATTCAGTGCTTTATGTACTCCCCTCGCACGATACAAGGATAGATGTCGTCGGAAGCCAAAGCCTCGTTAATCTGTCGATTTTGAAGATCTCTCTCTCTCTCCGACTCAGAAGAGTCTTTTAATACGATCCTTCAATCCTCACCGATTCGAATAATAATTTTATCCCAAATGATATCATTTCTTGTGACCTCAGCTTTGCCATAAATTTTTTTTTACAACCCCTGACTACCTATAAAAAATGTCTATCTACTTCCACATCATGAGAGCTTAACTTGGCAATTTTTCCAAGAGTGAGATAAAACTTTTATTTCATACAAGATTTCAAAAAAAAAACAATCTTTAGTTACCAATTTATTTTTTTTTTGGAAAAATTATTGCAATAGAAAAAATAAAATCGGTTTTTAGGGTTTCGTGGCTCATGCCCGAAAGTCTTAAGTTTTGCTTTGGCGTCCGTCCGTCCGTCGTTCACTCGAATGCTTGCCATAATTACCACAGCAACCGCTTCCATGGCAACCGTTTCCATAGTAGTTGTTTCTATAGCATTTGTTTCCATAGCAACCGTTTCCATAGTAGTTGTTTCCATAGCAACCGTTTCCACAGTAGACAATTCCATAGCAACAGCTTCCAAAGTAGTTGTTTCCATAGCAACCGTTTCCATAATAGTTGTTTCCAAAGCAACAGTTTCTAAAGTAGTTGTTTCCAAAGCAACCGTTTCCAAAGTAGTTGTTTCCATAGAAACAGTTTCCATAATAGTTGTTTCCATAGCAACCGTTTCCATAATAGTTGTATCTATAGCAACCGGTACCATAGTAACCATTTCCATAGTAGTCGTTTCCAAAGTAGTTGATTCCATAGCAACCGTTTCCAAAGTAGTTGATTCCATAGCAACCATTTCCATAGTAGTCGTTTCCACAGCGACAGTTTCCATAATAGTTGTTTCTATAGCAACCGGTACCATAGCAACCGTTTCCATAATAGTCGTTTCCATAGCAACAGTTTCCAAAGTAGTTGTTTCCATAGCAACAGTTTCCAAAGTAGTTGTTTCCATAGCAACCGTTTCCATAGTAGTCGTTTCCACAGCAACAGTTTCCAAAGTAGTTGTTTCCATAGCAACTGTTTCTATAATAGTTGTTTCTATAGTAACCGGTATCATAGCAACCGTTTCTATAGTAGTCGTTTCCATAGCAACAGTTTCCAAAGTAGTTGATTCCATAGCAACCGTTTCCAAAGTAGTTGTTTCCATAATAGTTGTTTCCATAGCAACCGGTACCATAGTAACCGTTTCCTTAGCAACAGTTTCCATAATAGTTGTTTCTATAGCAATCGGTACCATAGTAGTCGTTTCCAAAGTAGTTGTTTCCATAGAAACCGTTTCCGTAATAGTTATTTCCATAGCAACAGTTTCCATAGTAGTCATTTACACAGCAACTGTTTCCAAAGTAGTTGATTCCATAGCAACCGTTTCCAAAGTAGTTGTTTCCATAATAGTTGTTTCCATAGCAACCGGTACCATAGTAACCGTTTCCTTAGCAACAGTTTCCATAATAGTTGTTTCTATAGCAATCGGTACCATAGTAGTCGTTTCCAAAGTAGTTGTTTCCATAGAAACCGTTTCCGTAATAGTTATTTCCATAGCAACAGTTTCCATAGTAGTCATTTACACAGCAACTGTTTCCAAAGTAGTTGATTCCATAGCAACCGTTTCCAAAGTAGTTGTTTCCATAATAGTTGTTTCCATAGCAACCGGTACCATAGTAACCGTTTCCTTAGCAACAGTTTCCATAATAGTTGTTTCTATAGCAACCGGTACCATAGTAGTCGTTTCCAAAGTAGTTGTTTCCATAGAAACCGTTTCCGTAATAGTTATTTCCATAGCAACAGTTTCCATAGTAGTCATTTACACAGCAACTGTTTCCAAAGTAGTTGTTTCCATAGTAACCGTTTCCATAATAGTTGTTTCTATAGCAACCGGTACCAGAGTAGTTCTTTCCATAGAAACCGTTTCCATAATAATTATTTCCATAGCAACCGGTCTCATAGCAACAGTTTCTATAATAGTCGTTTCCATAGCAATTGTTTCCATAATAGTCGTTTCCATAGCAATTGTTTCCATGGTAGTAAACGTTACCTTAGCAGGCCACGAAACCCTGCAATGGAGGCGCCATGCGCCAGCTTCTCTCATTTTTTTGTAAAAAAAAAAAGTATCAAACAATGAACGACGTAAAACTACTGTATAAAGTCTCTAAAAAGATCTTCATCTTTGCGAAAAGTATATATAATTATATACCGACAGGTGCGGCAGCATTTAAAGGCCAAGTGTAAATCAGGAAGCTGTATGTATATTCTGACACAATATAAAAAGAAAAAAAAAAGAAAATATTGTCCTTGGCCCTCTCTCTCTCTTATGAACACGAGGTCCATGTTTAACAGGATGTTTTCTTTTTATATCAAAGTTTTATCGCGTCACAATCTTCGAAATACATTCATTCTCCATTGTCGAGATGTATTTACTGATCGAGAAATGATGAATCTGTTCGTGGCGTGGGAGAGCGCATCGCGGGTCTAAAAGTCAAGGATTCGGTTCAACGATCATAAACTCGCGAGATGCTGTTTATTCGAGGTACCGTGACCTCGCTTCATCGAATCGAATACCATAGAATTTATGTTTCAATTGGTCAATAACCTTTTTGCGTCGTCTATCATTTCTTCATATATATATATAATAATAATAATAATCTTTTTCTTAAATTTATATAATCATGCTTGTTAAATAAGTCATTACTTTAACTGTTTTCATGAAGAGTACGATTCAAAAACGTTTTTAATTTCAAAGAAAATAAAATTCCAAAACTCACAAATTTTAAGTAATCGAATTTTTTTTCTATATTGTTTTAAATTAATTTTGAAATTTGAAATTTAACCAATTTTCGACAACGCATATATATAGATTGTGTAATACAAGAGAAAGATGTTATATTGGATAACTGTATTGCGTTTCACTATATATATAAAGATTAATTTTCCAATGATCCAATAGTTTAATACACGTTTGGCAATGAACCAACATATTTGCTACGGTTTCGAATTTCACATATAAAAGCTGTAACAATATTCTCGCATATTATATTCGTATATTAGAAATTCCATATATAGCGCATTCAAAACTATAGTTGACATTTATCTTGAAATTTCAACGCGCGCAATATTTACGAAAGTGTATCGAATATTAAATTAATACAAATTCTTCTTGCACGGTGCAAAATTAAAAGGTTGATAATTTCGCAAAAACAAAAGGGGGAATCTAATTTCATAAATGACTAATAGAACCAATCAATAATAATTAAGTTCGTAGAGAATTTTAATTGATTTAACGAAATTTTGTACAAATGTTAACAAATTGCAAAATCTAAACTTTTGAAAATAAAACTGCACGTGAAAAGGAACAAAATTTTCATTTATTAGAAAATTAAGTAAGAATTTTAAAAAATTTAGTTAAAAAAAAGGATGGTATTTAGAATGGTATAGTAAATAAATCAGGAATCCTTTCAAAATGTTGATACTGATAATTAATTATATTAAACAGTTTTTCATGTTAATAGGTAATTACCAAGGTAAATAAGAAAAGCAAACGACTACTCAAAGTTTTCATAATTAATTCGAAGCACTTGTTTATAATAGATTTCACGTACTCTTGAACGTGCTCAATTGCCTCTTCTACAGAAATCCATATATATATACTTAAGTACACTATATTCCATGATACGGTTAATATCATCTAACATGAATTTCATTTAATATTTAAAGGACAAAAATATGAGATATTAAGAATTGAAGAATAATGTTCCTAATTCCTTCAAAGTTTTAATCACATTTCTTCTAATGAGCAGTTATTTTGAATGGACAAACTTAGAATTCGATTACATGAACTCCTATTATGTCCATGATAAGCATCTTTCGTTCCTAATGCTCCTAACATCCTGATTTAATTCCCCTACGAAAATTACATGGAAATAAAAATAATTTTTGTCATTTGAATTTTTGTTTCCGCCCTAAAGGTTCGTACAATTTTTTTACTAATGTATTTTTAATGCTCACAGAAATAAATTATTTTTAACTTGAGATTTCATTTTTTTTTTTTAAAGTTTAATCGTTAGTTAAAAATTAGTATATTACAAAATATTGCTTTCTCTATATAAAAAGAAAGTGAAAAATTCGGTCAAATAACAATTGTAGAATAAAATTTCAATAAAGTCAAATGGAAATGCAGTGAGAACTAACTTTGTGCTCGTGGAATTTATTTAATTCACTTAAGATGGTATTACAATAAATTGCACACAAAGGACGCTGTTTTCTTGGTCGGGATTTTATCTCCTTTGCTGACAAAATGTTTGGGTTTTACTATAAGTAGCAACCTTTAACGCATAAAAGAGAATTAAATGTATATATATACAAAACCCCTTTACATTCCTAGAAACAGTGAAACTAGTGCATATTCACACTCAGTGTAACCAAGACGACGAAACCATTCTCAAGAACCAATGTAACCGCGTGTTTCCACTCGGTATTCAAAGAGAGCTTTTCAGAGCTTCTACCAACTGACTCGCGGGAAAACATAAATAATCCTACACAACAATTAGTTCTCTGATTATTAAAATTTTTCTTTCATAAAGAAAATTCCAAAATATTATATAGAACAAAATAATATATTCTCAGTGAATAAAATATTACAAAACGAAAATTTTGTGAAATTAAATATAATTTAACATAATTACATTTCAATAATTTTATTTTAAAGCCAAAATTGTTCATTTCGAATATGTGAAACATTTGCGAAAAATGAAATTAACAGCTTCCAAAAGATGAAATGGAATTTACATGTTTAATAATAAGAGAAATGTGAGAAGAAATTTCGAGTCTTAGAGAGTTTGCTTTTGTGATTTTGGCTTCATGATATGAGGTACAGAACTCAGAGGAATGGCATTTGCTATTCAAAGCATCTGCATTTTGATTAACAAGAGCTAAGTCTCGATGCTGTTAGTCGAATATAATTACGCTTGACTGGAAACAATGCTAAATTGAATCTTGTTCAATTACTGTCAACAAATGAAAAACAAAATATATGCAAAAACCATCTTATTATTAATATAATAATTATTTTTAATTTTAATTTTTAATTTATTTCAGGTATTGGGCTTACCCTTGTTCCGGTTCACGGCGGAAAAAAGGTAAATTTAATGAGTTCAAAATACTATTCAGAGTTATTTTTTTTTTAATGAAATATTAATTAAAATTGTATTTTATTAATGAATCTTGCATCAAGATATAAATATCCAGATTGAAATATAAAGTACCTAATATAAAGTTGCGCTTCATTTCGTAAAAGAGAGTTGCTTTAAAGGAAGTTTCCTTCAACTGGAAATTAAACAAAAAGGAGTTTTCTTCAATATAGACGTTATTTCATTTCTTATGACTTCTTTCATTTTATTTCACAATTATTTTTATTTAATTGCATTATTTTTTTATATCTTTTAATGAAATTCGTAATAATAAAACATATTTTATTAAAATATAAAACACAATTTTATCAATTTTTGAGAAATTCGACTAGAAAATTATGTTTCGAAGACTTAGAAGAAGAAAGCCTTGACAAGACAACTTTATCGCTTTTAATTTTGACCCTCTGTGTACTACAATAGAAAATTCTAGAATTTGAAGATATATTTAATTTAAAAGAATCTTGTTAAATAAGACTAGAAAAGTGTCAGATTGAGGGGAAAATGTTACGTGTTTTTCATTGAAAAACATAAGACTAAAAAAAAAAAAAAATGAAAGAAGAAATGAAAGATCAACAATGGTACTGTCGAAGGTCCCTGCGCACCTTCTTTGTGAGTTCTTTTCTTTCTTTCTTTCACTCGTCTTAGGAGGTGCACTTTCACGGTTCCATCCCATTTTTCTAACCAACTTCGGCATGCACATCCGCGTTATCTTGAGAGCGAAGCGTCGAGCTTCCGGCTGCGCTCATCAGATTGGCAAGACAATAGGATATACCGTGTGATGCAACCGTATTATGGAATGAATCCTCCCTGAGGCTTCAAACTAAAGAGACTTCATATATATATATACCACTCCGAGTGTCTCTGGTTTATGGGGCCGAGAATTATTGTTGATATTTATCTTTATAAATGTATACGCAGAGTTTAGAATCGTTGCAAAATTACACCCAAAAAAAAAGAAGGAAAAAATTATTTTCCAACTATATATTAATTAATAATATCAAAGTTATCAATCATTATTATTAATTAAAGCAAATGTATACGAATTGGAAAATTCTTATAAATATAATTTAATTAATGAGAAGCTACACAGATTATAATAATAATAATAAGCGAGCGGTAGTAAATGTTCCTCTTCCGGTTATGTCGAGCGCATCAAAAATACATAAAATATATACAAAAGCGCATAACCGGAAGGGAGACATTTACGAGCATTAGTACAGCTACTAATTATTTCACACCTTTAATATCTGGCACAGAGTCTTATTAAATGACAAAAAATTTAATTAAACGAAAAATTTCATTATTCTTATTATTTTTATACTCAAAAAAATATTACAGATCTTAGTAATTAAATATTATTTTTAGAGAAAATATCTAAAATGGTTTTAAATAATCAGGGCTTGGATCGAGTCGTTTTTTTTTTATTGTTAATTTTCTGCAAAAACTGTTTTTTTTTTGACGAAAAAAAAAAATTGTCGGTGTGACTTTCCGTAAATTAAACGTATATGTATAAGTCACGGAAGCGTCAACTTGACAGCGAAGTAGTCACTTCCTATATACATTTTTCTCGCCTCATCAAAAAGTATATATGGTGGTAGGCGTGGGTACAACACGAGTTATAACGGTTACGCGAATAAAGATTCCAACGATTCCTATCCGATAAGATATCAAGAAAACAGACAACCCCCTTCTTTATTCTTTTCTCTATATATTTATAGTGCGGCAGAGGGACGGATGTTATTCAACATAAGTTTGCGCAACTATTTATGCGTTTTATCTTACGATTCCGGTCCACACATGGTTTTTTTTTTTTCCAACATGAACTATATATGAACATACACAAGCAGAGAAATTCATTTGTATTTTTAGTTATTCATCTACCCATGACCGTATCGATTTAACGATCATTTAACTCATATTTCACGCCGGGTGGCTTCGTTTAGCGTTACAGCATACGTTATTCACGTAACATACCTAAATGACCTGCATTTTCCACTTTTGTGACCTGCATTCTATTGCAAGGAAAAAAAAAAAAAATTGTCGATAAATGAAAAATCATTTTGTAAATTTTCTTTCTATACTTTTTACATTGCTACTTTTTTTACACTAAAAAATAAAAATTTATTTGATTCAAATAATCGGTTACTTAAATAAATATTTATTTGTATCAAATAATTATTATTTAAATATTTTTTTTTACAAATAGAATAAAATATGCTGATCATGTTTGTGGAAATTGTAAATTCAATTTTATTATGCCTATATTATAAAAAAAAAAAACTATTTATTGCGCATTATATATTTAGTCAGCGGTAATTTGCCATCACTGAGTCTTGATTAAAATTGCGCGGCCAATCAAAAGAAAGTATTATTTTTTTTTTTTGAAAGAAATGATTCTTAGTAGCGATTTACTCCCATGTTATTCTTAATGTCGATTTATATACTTCCGCGATTCTTGACGTTATAAGACCCATCTTCCGCGTGTTTTATTTTTAAGCAATGAAATGCTTTTAAATTACTTTGCCATTTTCAATAGATATATAAGAGAATCAAAAGTTGATTCTCTATTATTTTTTTTCTTCTGTTTATTAGAATAATAAAACAAGAGTCATAAAAGTAATTAAGATAAGAGCATATAATATAGTAAATTATTGTAAAAGTGCAGGCAAAATTACCGCCAGTATTTTACTTAATTCTTCATTTCGTCACTATCATATGATCAATAATTTACTTAACGTCAAAATTTTATTTATGAGTGGATAATGAATATAAATTAGTTTTTAAGTGTGCAAACAACATTTAAAATTACCTTATATGAGTAGCCCCGCGCGTTTGAAAATTCACGATAGTGACATGTATAGTTATAAGGTAAAGTACGCGGCGCACGTGAGGAGGCCTTTCTCTTCGAGACCTTGGACTCATCACATTTGAATTAGAGTAATGCAAGAAATGCTCTCTCAAATTCTGATCGACTTTTCACTTCATTCATTTCGCTATTATATCCTCGACACTCAATAATAATAATTAACTTCAATAATTTATCCTTCATTATTATTATTATTATATTTATTTATCATTTAACTGACATTTAAATTAATTTGTCACATTTACTTCAATTTATATAAAATTATTTAATTAATATTAATTATTTTTAAAATTATGTATTAATTTAATTTTTTTTATTAATTTATTTATTAGACAATTATTTTTTATTTATTTAACAATTAATGAAATTTAATTTGATTTATAGTTCAATCAAATCATGAAAATATAATAATAGATTTATAATTAATTTTGTATACCCTTAATTTTTTACATTCGATTTTAATTAGTAAAAGTTTTGCAAACAGTATATATATATTATTAGGACAAATTGCATTGTGTTCAGAAATACGGTAAATAAAACATAATTAATAATATGTGAAAATAGAAAATTTTCCTAAACAGAAAAGCAACGTAGTTCGTGTTACAGTTTCTAACTATATTATAATCCAATTTAATCATGGAGAATGTATTTTAATTAAATTTGGGTATTTGGTCATCTAAGATTACCTTTCATGTGTCAAGAATATTACTGTTCTGCGGTATAATTAATTTTCCTACCAAAATATATATATCTATGAAACATTTCATAATAATATTTCTAATCAACAAATATTCTAATTAAAATATATTAACGAATTAAAAATTGCTGACAATGTAAATTAATTTATTTAAATTATTATATCATTATTTAAAACTAATGAATTCATTATAAATATTATTATATAATCAAATTATTAATATCAAATTATAATGACTATATAAACAGACTCGAAACATAAATTTCTCATGAGATAACAAAGAAAAAAAAAATGTTCAATTATATTTTGCTATTCTTCGCTTTCCTTTTAATTATTCTTTAAATTATCCAGATAACAATAAAATTATTATTTCAGATTAAAATCGTATTAAAAATATTTTTTACACTAAAAGGTTAACAAAGTTTAATTTTCTTTTTTTTTTTTGAATATATAGAATTTGAGAAAATTATACTTTTATTTTCCTTATTAGAGAAAAATGTGGTGAAGCCATGTTCAGTTGACATTTTATGAGCTGTTTCACAGAGAGCAGGTAATATTTTTAAAGCAGCCAGAGTTTACAGAAGTTCCGAGTTGGCAAACTTTTGAAATATCGCGATTCATAAAACGCGGGGGTTTAAATTTCACTGCTTTACGTAGTATTTCATTTTCAGAATTCACCAACCGATAAAGCACACAAATACAAATATGGAATAAATTATGCTTTTATTTTTGTGTGCAAAAAAAAAAAAATTGCAAAAAGCTTTACTCTTTTAACTTATTATGCATCATCAATCAATAAACAAATCAAAAAAATAATTTATAGCTGTGAATAAAAAAATTAATAAATTTCTTTTTATTAACTATTTATTTTGATCTATTTTTTGTTTGAAATAATTATTCATTAGATAATACAGTTAATTTGGTTCAAATATAATTTTCTATATAAAAAAATATGTGAATAATAATTAAAGTGAAAGTTGATTCATAATTGAAATGTTTATTGAAGGATGAAGAATTTAATTTAACGCTTTCGTAAAAAAAAGAACTATAAATATGAATCGATGTAATTGAGAAATTACGCACAGGTTTTGTTCATCAATATATCTCATATAAGAAACTAAATTAATGTAACGCGTCTTGTGGACAAGAATTCCGAGTTACTAAATTGAATTAGTATTTTTTCTTCCGCAACTAGGAAGTGAAAAGTTTGAATCGAATTTAAAAATGTATGTTTCGGTACGCGAAACAATAGATTCAATCGTAAGGTACTTAGGAAACTTTGGAACCGGCACTTACAAACACGTATTTCATGTCTTATCGAACAGTAAATTAGGTAGGTGACAAACTTCCGAAGAGAACGATAAAATACACTCGATCTGCGGAAACTCTAAAAACTTTTCAGATATTAATCAATTTCCAAATTATATTCCCTGTGCTCTATTATTATTACTGAATTTCATAAAATTTATTGCAAAAATTCACTTTAAAATTTTAAATATTTGTTGAAATTAAATTAATTAGTTGTTTGTTCATTTCATTTAGTTTATTATTTATTATTTATTATTATTTTTTTAAATTGAAAAATTGTTAAATAAATCTGTTTTTGTTATATTATTATAATATAGCATTAAATTAGTTTAAAGTTATATTAACTATTTTAAATTATATTTTTAAAAAAGTCCCACTAGACAGCAATAATGGTGAATTGTATAATTTTAAAAAGATTTTTCTACAGAAACATTTTTCTAGGGTAGATCATTTTCTTTCTCATTTCCCGTACCTAAAAAGCAAGAAAATGAAATAAAATAAAAGCAGGAAGAGAATCTTCAACGTTCAGTAGCGATTGTCCTCTCTAATGGTTATACCACATGGTGTGGTTTCTGACATTTTTTTCCCCCAACAATAAAAAAAAAGTAACTTTTTTCCAGAGAGATAATAAGATTTTATTGTTTAAAAATTATTATTCAAATTAATGCCAAAAAATTTTATTTAATTAGAATTTCGAATATTTTTCAAGGTTTTTTTTTTCCTACACAAAATAACTTCATTTTTTTAAAAGAAACTTCAGGGGACTACTAATAATGCTAAATTAAAATCCTTAAAAAAATAATCTATAATTAAAGATACAAAGTTTTTAATGTTATTTTATTTTTCAGGTATCAGATGATAAAGAAAGAACGAAGCTACCAGAATTCCTCTCGGAATTGGATCTGGCTAGCATAGAAGCATCAGAAGAAGATATTAAAGACTTGAAAAAAGTTGTTAAAAGGCTTGCCCCGGAAAAGAATGGCGAGTACCAAATATACCAAGGTTTTCATCATTCTTTCATCATTTATTTAAAATAAATTTAGAAAGGAAAACGCAATGTTAATCTTCCGAACTAATTTTAATTTATAATAATTATTATTATTAAAATACCTAATTAGAATACTAATAATTATGAGGCTATATACAATATAAGTTATATTACATTATATAATATTCTCTATATATGTTTATAAGTACAGTAAACTCTCATTAAATATAAAAATATCAAGATTATTTTTAAATAATGAGAGTTACCTGCTTTTTATTTCATTCAATAATGTTACTTTAAGAAAATTAAATACACTCATTTGTTGGTTGCCAGTTTTTTTCGGAAACGAGGATCTTCTAAAGGAATGGCTGAAGGGAGCGGGTATAATAATTCTAACTGTCGCTTATTTTTTACGCTGTTGCATGTTTAATTTAAATTTAACAATAAATTAACACCAAAATTGTTTGAAATTTAGATAATTATTTTTTAGAATTAAATTATTTAATAAATATTAGTTTAGTTTTATGGTATTATAATTTATAATTATTAACAATTTAGTAAATTTTATTAAAAATTCATTAAATTGGCCGTTTAAATTAATTATTTAACTATAAATATTAATTCTTAATTATTTATTTTAATTTCATTATGGATAGTTATTAATTTTAAAAATTATTACTCATTATAAAATTATTAATTCCTTAAAAAATTTTCAGGGGTTACGGGTCAACCTGGGGTCGACTTTCCAGTTCTAACAACAATTCCAACTACGTCTTTCACCTGTCGCGGAGTCAAAGGTGGATATTACGCCGATTTGGAAACTAACTGCCAAGTAAGGGAATTTAATTTTTCTCCTTCTTTATAGAAAAAATCCTAAACTTCTTTTTTCAGATTTTTAAATTTTAATTTTAGTTAAATATTTATTTTCCAATTTTCATTTAAAATTATTTTTCCGATTTTTTTAGTTTTTTATTTATAATTTCGACTTTCATTTTTAGGTATTCCACATTTGTGACAATGGGCGCAAGATCTCATTTTTATGTCCAAACGGTACAATATTCCAGCAATCGCAATTAATTTGTGACTGGTGGTTTAAAGTCGATTGCAGCAGATCAACTGAACTCTATGAGCAAAGTGCCGAACTCCTGGCAGAAGAAGAACGAAAGAGGAACGATGCAAAGAAAATCAGTTCCGAATATCATCGCACATCAGAGGAAGAAAATGGACAAAATAATTATCAATATGTAGACTACGATGGACGACAAAACGGTCGATCTAATCCATTCAGTCAAACTGCTAATCAAAATCAAATTCAAGATAATCAAAATAAGAATCAACCCTATAGACAAAATCTAGATTACAATCAACCGTCAGGACGACAGAATCAGTTTGCCCAAAATTATAAACCAAAAGATCTACAAGACTTGAGCGAGGGAAATACAAATTTTAATCAACAAAAACAATCAACAGTTTTTCCAAATAATCATCAGTCGCGAAACAGACAGCAGAATCAATTGATCGACGATCGTAAAGAAAAGTCAAAACAATTAAATGACTATGATCATCGAGGTGGTAGAAAATATCAAATCTCTGATCAAGGTCAAGGTAAAAATGATAAACAAGCTTCTAGAAATTCAAAATCTAAATCCTTTACTGACGCTAACTACAATGGAATAACACAAAAAGCAACTCCCTCCTATACGGAAACTACAACTTTCAGAACAACTTCTCCCAATCCCATAAGGGAATTCCAACAAATGGCTGAGAGTGCAGCATTTGTCAACAATCGTGGAAATCGATTTAACAAAATATACAGTACAAGTCAGTACAATACCTATTACAATAATCGAGCAACATCTTCGGATAATTCACAAAAATCTACTTCTACTCCAAACGAGAATAATAATCCCACAACCATGAAGCCTAAAGTTGGTAGCATTCCTCCATTCCCGGGTCCCACTTTCACACCAATCTTCAAACCTAGGATAACTTCATCTGACAAAAGAGGACCAACAACCACTCCAAGATCACAAAGCACAACTGATGGTTTTGCTTACAATAACAAAAATGCTCAAAATTACAAACAACTCCCAAATGATGATCGACAAAAAACTATTTCTTCCACTCAAAGAACATACGTTAGCACTGATTACTACAAACAAAATCCAACAACAATTGTTCCCACAACAATTTATGATTCCACATACACCAATTATTATGATAATCCTACCACTGGGAATTATCAGGACGAATCGTTCACCACATTGAGACCTCCAACTGAAAATTATTACAATTCAGCGACTGGATTCCATCAGAATTCTAAATCTAGAGATTATCAAAATTCTGGAACAGGAACGTATCAGAATTATGAAACCAGACCTAATCAGAATTCTGAAGCATATAAAAATTCTCCAACTGTTTATAATCAGAATTCTGCAACTGAAGCTTATCGTCAAAATTCCGCAACGGGAAATTTCACTGGAATCACTTATGTCGACAATACAGTGACACCTTCGGCAACTGTATTTAGTCAGCAACCTCAAGGTTTTGAGAGTCCAAAAACCTATCGTGATGGAGAACGTAATGACATTCAATATTCCACAAAAAATCCCTCCAGATCATCGCAGATTTATCAACTCAATTCAATCGTGAATGCAGCTACGGAAAAATCGTTTATCGAAAATTCCGTAACGAATAAACCAGATTTAGACTTCTCGAATCGCCAGGGCAAGTCTTCAACTTCCCGACCGTATGTTCCATTTACAAAAAATTATGCATACACAACTGTTGCAAGTGCTACAACACAAAAACCGAACATTTACACAGCCACTGTACCACCATACGATTCTAACAATCGTGGCAGTTTCAATGACCTTGTTCCCAATTCTAAAGCTTCGTACTCGCCCAGCAGATCAGGAACTGGAGCTACTTATTTACCAAAACAGACAACTACCAAAGTGTCATCTGTCACGAAAAAACCGATTTTAGATGATAGACCAAAAAATGAAAAGGAACATGTGCTCAATATGATTCAATCACTTCAGGGTTTGGAGGAAACTAATTCTAATGGAAACAGATCGGGATTAAATATTCCAAGTTCTTCTGGACCATCGACTCTACATTCTCTTGCTTTGTACTTCGCGACAGCGGGTGATAATTCCGGATTGGCCAATATCTCCGATTTCACTCAAAATCTCGAGCAAAAAAATGAAGCATCGAAAAATGGAAATAAAACTGTAGAACTTCCGACTAGTATACTAACTCAGCATACCATTAATTCCTACATAGATCTATTTAACTTGAACAACGCTCTGGAAAACAATACTGCTGTTCTGCTGGAAGATACCAGTGGCGAACTAAACGCGAGTAACGATTTTGAAGATGATCTTGACATTCAACAGAGTGAAGGTCCTTTGAACGCTGCCAAAAAATCAAATAGCACCAAACTTCGTGAATTAGCACAAGTTTTTACTCACGCCTTGTCAGCTTATCTTCAAGATCCCGAAACATTCAAGAAAGTTCTCACTGAAATAAGACCCACTGAGCCTTCATTGTCAAGTGAGGATGAAAATGCCGAGAATACATTATCACCTACAACCACCGAAGAATATCCATCAGTTACTAAAGAAAAGGATGAGGTTCTTGATTTCTCCGATGACAGTAACACTGCCCGAAGAAGAAGACCAACAACTCCCTATCCAAATCAACCAACTAATTATATTGCTGAAACTAATCAAGAGGGTTCCACTGATTACTTCACAACTTCCGTGACTTCTTCAATTTCCCAGTATTCAACGACACAAATTCCAAACGCCAATAATCGTGAATCACCAAACGGAAACGACAATTTTGCCTTTCAAGTTAATAGCGTTTTGCAAGAAAATAGAAATCTAAATGATGATTCGTTAATTCCCAGCAATTCTCTCAATGATTACGAAAATTACTTTCCAGAAACAAACAAAGCAAACTATCGAAACAATTCCCGAGAACCTTATGGAAAAAATTTAAAACCCTTCGATGCTGTTCCAATCACCAACTATGTTCCCTCAACAACACCCGGTTCCTTCTTCCAAACCGAGGAACAAAGAGGTTTCTACGATCGAAATCGTCCACAACAGGAACTAACACCGCCAGCACTTCCCACCTCACAAAATCCATATCAGACCAACAAATTGTCCAATCAAAATACAAATTCTAATTACAGATCTGAAAATCAGAATTCAATACCCTCGACCACTGAACCATTCAGAATTCGTTACTACGACACACCGAAAAATCATGAAACTTTAGTAACAGCAACAAATGTGCATTCCAGTTATAGAAATGAGCTCGATAATAAGTTACGTTCGTCTGGTAGATCAAACAGTGTTTTTAATACTAAGGATACAAGGCCTGTTTACACAACAACAACTACACCAGTTGAGACATCTAGCGATCACTGGACCTCATCGCCGGAAGTAACTCGCTTATGGGAAACAACAGTATTTCTCGATCCCCAGCGAATTAATCACGACTTGATTCACGATCAATTGTCCACTTCCGGTCCAAGATTAGCTGATCCCACACAATTTAATACAAATCCGAGTCAGGAGCTTCTGGCCACAGAAGCATCAAATGGCGTTACTCCTCAGAATTTCATTACAGATTCATCAACACCTTGGCAATGGTCGCCAAATGATAACGATTCACCAACAACATTCACACTACTACCATCAGCTTATTCAACGGAAAATACAGCAACGCCAAATCCAACATACACGACCATTGCGACTGTAACATCATCAGTGACATCCAATCAAGCATCAGAAACACACATTCCCAATTCAGTGATTAACATCACTGAGAATGAGATTGAAAAGGCTCAGGAAATGTTTGGTAAACTCAATACATCAAGTTCAAATACTTTAATGAAAGTAATGAAACAAGCTGATAATAATTCAACTGTCAGACAACTTGTTTTATTGCTAATCAGCCATTGTAATGGACCAATGAATAAAACAATGGAAGAGGAGAAGGAAAATTTATTGAATGCTCTCTTAAAATTACCTGTCAATGAATTCACATCAGAGGAATCGCGTGAAATTATTGCTGGTATCGGTAGATTAAATTTACCACTTGGCAATAATGAAGGTGGAAAATCGGATAAATCGAGAATCATTCAAACTTTTATAGCCGTTACTGAACCCTCAATAACAACATTTAGAAATCGTCAGGGAAGAAAATTTAAATCAACTACGCCTGTTCCCGATACGCAATATCATTCATCATCAAATCCAGCAATTGCTGAGTCCAGAAGTGCTTTGGTTGAAGATGAAACATCGATATCGGACAGTAGAGCACTGGAATTACTCAGATCGTTATATAGTATAGCTGCTAAATGGGGTTGAAAAATCAATTATTGATGTGGTCTTTGACCAGTGTCTGCCATAACTTTGGATTTTGTTCCTCAGGACTGATGACAGTTTATGTACTTGATTCGGGAAAAGAATAATTAAATATTTATTTCATAAATATAAATATCTTCAAAAAGGGAAAGAATCGTTAAATTATACTGACAAAAAAATTTATTTGAATCATATTTTTGATTAATTATTATTTATTACAATATATATAAAAAATAATTTTTTTACTAAAAAGAAAGAACGTATCTCAAATCAAAAGTAATTATAATATGATAATTAGATTTGTTATTTTATTCTAGAAATATAATTACTTAGATGTATTTGATGAATTATCATCAATTTAACAAAGAGGTTTCTTCAATTTATTTATTTCAAACAAATTATTTTTTTAAAAAAATTATTCTTAGATTAAAGAAGATTTTCATTAACTGAAGAAGTGTTTTTTGTAATTAAAAAAATTAATAAAATAATTTGAATCCAAAGTTTCGTTTAATCAAAAAAACATTTTTTTTATTAAATAAATAAATAATAAATAACATATTCTGTTATATGATTCAATTTTTTTAAATATAACAAAAATTGTTCAGGCAGAAATGAATTATTGAATTTACAGAAAGAATGTTAATTTCATTTTTTCCTATATAATGAAAAGATTAATAATAATTTCTAGATTTAAATAATAATTTAATGTCAATAATTGCTTTATAATAAATTTTACTATTTAGTAAAATGAATTTTATTTTGAAAAAAAGTTTTTCTTTACAATAAAGTAAACTTTTTATTTTTTTAGTCAACGAAAAAAAATTTTTAACAAAATTAAAATTTTTCTCATTGACAGTGTAGAGAAAACTTTATTTTGTAATAAAACAAACTCTTCTCATAAAATATAGTATTTATTCACTTTTTTAATTAAATGTAAAAATAAATTAAATTAAAAATTATAATTGGATTAAATTAATTTTTAAAAAAATCAATTCCAAAGTTTCTAATTTACGTTTTAGCGAGTATTTATTTAAAAAAATGTTTATAAACTGTAAAAATAAATTTTTATTTAATATTCTTTTCCTGAATCAAATGTGCGTCACGCAGACACTTTGTACGACTTTTGCGCCTTAATTCTAAATAAGAATCAAATGCTGGCCAGAAAAAAAACGTTTAATATTGTTAAGAATGAATATATAACTTCGACGTCAGATTCCAAATGTGAATCAAACTGTCTGTACCATAATGTGCTAAGTACACTTGAACGCAAGAAAATCGTCATAATATTTATAAATGTATATGTATGTTGATTCGTTAGTACTTCAAAATAATTATTAATATTAAGGGATGGGACACGGTTTTTGTGGGATTCAAAATTTCTCTAGTGTGTTGATGAATGATTGTTATTACCTCTTTATATATATAAAAAAAAAATGAGACAGGTTGTTACCACAGAAATAGTATTCTTTAGGTTTAATTGTAAGCAATTTTAATATACCTGTTTCGTTATTATTATGTATTCAATACGCGTAAGATGGCTTTTAAAATAATTAAAAATTATTCTTTTATTTAAATTTTTAGTGTTTTATAGTTTTGTGCAATATTTTAAAATATATATTTTTAAAAACGAGATCATTTATAAATAAATGAAAGTCAGCAAATAATTTATAATAAATTAAAAATCAACAATATTAATAATGAAAACGATGAAGCAAAAAATACTTTTGACCTTAGCAAAGTTTAATGAACAGTTTAATTATACAAATTAATATATGTATGCGTTTTAACACAATCTAATAATTTCGAACGTCATCTTTGGAAAAATAATATGATGAAAGAAATAAACTTCATTTTAAGATTTTTATCTATATTGTACTCATGTGAGTTAAATATAGCGTGTATAAATTAAAAATTGTTGAAAACATCTCTCATAATCTGATATTTAATTAATTAGATTCAATAGTTTATTTATAAACGAAAAAAAAAAGAATTAAAAATTTTCTTCAAAATAATAAATTTAGAAATAAATTTTAATGTCTAAAAAAAAGTTTAAATTAGAAAAAGTCATCTGCGAATACACACGATAGCATTTTGGAAATGAATGAGTGTGTGATAGGAAATAGTTATAAACAGATTTTATGTAAAATATCTTTGTACAGAATGTGAATAAATAAATAAATGCAGGGTTTTGTTAAATAATGATGTTTTCAAATAATTTCCTTTTCTTTTTTTTTAAACAAAATTTTTTTTTTTAATTAAAATGCGATATTAGAAATAACATTTACAAACAAAATTATTTAAAAATAATATAAAACTTTCTTTATAATGAAAATTTTAATTACAAAATAATTAAGTTCACGTTAATTCAATATTAATTTAATTAATAATTATTATTCAATTACAAATTCAATTGATAAATGAAAAAAAAGTAAATTAATTAAAAACACCAATAAACTAAAAAAGTATTTAATTTAAAAAAAAGTAAAAGAATTATTTTATTAAATAATTTAAAATATTAATAAATTCAAAAGTACAAAAGGGTGAAATCTCGGCATATGCAGTTTGATTAAATAATTTACATATAAATGAATTTAAATATTTAATGGAAGAAGAAGAAGAAGAAAACTGATTTATGATTTGCCAATGAAGTTTATAGGAATATTCATTCCAATGTAAAATATGTTGAATAATGAATTATTTCACTTTTCTATGATAATAACCAACTTCTACATCCACCTATGTAATTTCAGAGTAGAATATAAAATTAAATTCATTATAATTAATAGTCAAACAAATAAAAAAAAGTAGGCCAACGTATATTATCAATGAATGATTTCTTTCAGTAGAATACTCAACGTATAGTCAGACAAAGTAATACGCCAACTGCCATAATATAAGAACCTAAACTTTTTAATTTAATTCTAATTAATAATTTCCTAATAATTCTAATTATTTATTTTATTTACGAAAAAGAAATATTCCTAAGCCCTCAAAGTAATTAATAATTTTTATATTATTAATAATTATAATATAATAATTATTCATTACAATTATTCATTGCAATTATTCATTATCGTTATTCATCATAATTATTCATCAAATATTAATTATATTATAATTAATAAATTGTATTAATAACTTTACAATTATTTAAAAATAATTTGTTTACAATAACTTTATATGTGAAAAATTACAATATCCTTGGATATATTACAACATACTTTATGAATGAATACTCAATAGACTAAACATATTATGTCATGCATATTGTGCACAATTTTCATAATTACAAGCAGATCAGTGTTAGTATAAAAAGCGCACAAATACTATAATTATTGTGAAAGTTAGAACGTGCATATGACATGAAGGTGATGCATAGAGTTGAAAATAATTAGGTAGATGAATAGTGTTTCCAAGAATTGTTTATCATGACTTTTATTTAAAGAATACACTTAAACTCTTTGCACTTTACGAGATATTAATCTTTTGCCTTTTAATAATTATTATTATTTTATATTGCGCTTTTCAAAATAACAAACCAAGTTCAATTTAAGAAATTCTTATCACATATATTAAAAGTCAAAATCTATTAATTACATTTTTTTTTAAATATTGTTAAAAAAATTTTTTTTAACAAATATGCTATTAAAAAAAATATTGATTAAAGAATTTGAATTTAATAAATAAAAAGATGACATAATATGATTAGAATATTGTATTTTCTTTTAGAAAATCAATTTTAAGTATATGAAATAAATAAATAATTGAAAGTAATTAATAGCAATAAATTGTAGCCAGCTTGTGGAAGTACAATTAAAAAATTAAAATTTAATAAAATAATCTTTGTGATTATTTATTGGAAAACTCTTTATCAATATAACAAATTTTCAATTATTGATGATTGTGAATTCAATTATACATAGTTGAAATGTTTCATAAATCAGAGCAATGAGCATACCTAATTAGATTTAAAAATTTTGCATCCGAGAGAGAATTATAATTATTCATAGTATATTTCGCGTGTGATATATACGTATATATATATATCAATGCAAGTGCACAAAGGGAAAAATATTTCTTTTTTTTAATAAAAAAGAAAATAAATAAAGGGATTTACGGATGAAAGCCGTTCACAAGTCCCGTCATTCAATATTGTTTGATTTTTCTTGGTTTATTTTTAACGTGTCCCAGTAACCCAAACCGCATCAAAACCAATTGCATCAACAGTCGACCTTTCCCGCCTCACCAACCGACCGTAAACGTAATTGTAGTGCGCGAGCAGAGGGCGAATTCAACAGATACACGAAAGAGGAGTATTTGATATAGTATCTAAACGATAACTAATCACAAGATGTTTATTTCATAAAAGAAGATATAACTGACTGTCAATCATCACGATTGCAATAAACGAATAAATTTATCAGCAAGTTTCATTATATATAATACAAACGAGTTGCACGAAAATTTCAAATTGTTTAATAAATTTAAAAAAAAAATCTTTATTTCTTTATATAAAGGAGCAAAGCACAAATTAAAAGTGTCCCTTTAATAGTTATTAATAAACATTTGATAATTACCTAATTAATATAATTATCATTGTTTGATTATAATTTAAAAAAACAACAATTAATTTATGATTATAATTTCATTCAAGAATTAAAAAAAAATATCTTCCAATTTAGAAAAAAAATGTTTAATAAAACAATACCAAACAATTCCAAAAAATTCAAAATCTTAAAGAAATAAATTAGATGTGGTAAAAGAAAGGACAAAATCGCAAAGTGACAAAGTAGATAAAAAAGTTATCAGAAGTCACGAATTCAAAGATTCATGACTTCCGATAAAAAAAAAAGCAATAAACATGTACCTTTTTTAAAACCTGAAAGAAAAAATTGATTAAAATCCTGTTCTAGAATATGAGTAGAAATTATCATTTTTAATAATTAAAAAAAGGAAAAAAATCTAAATAAAAGTAATAATTACTAAAAATTTTTCAATTCAATAGATTATAAAAAAAATATTTCTGATAAAATTAATAAAATAGAAAAAGAAGTTGTAAATTAATTAAGATTAAAAAAAAGCCCTTTTTTGGTTTAAAAATATAACGAATTTTAAGTAACATTAAAACCGATGATAAAACAAAATTTAATTTTGGATAAAAAGTTTTTCCGAGAACCAAGGGAAAGAGCTTTCTGATCTAAGACATAATATACACAATATAAAAATATCTACTCACTAATTAAATAAATTTTCAAATGTTTGAAACATCATTTTCATATTGATTTAATTAGCGGTCACTTAGAGATTTTGCAAGTTAATTACAACCTGCCGTGGCCACATCTCTCATGACAGGAGGGACTCACCGATCGGCGAATTCCAATCGGCAGACAATGTCAGCATCTCTCCTACGGGTTCTGCTTCTCTCCTCCTTCTGCATCATGTCCATCGGCGAGAAATGAATTCTTCTTAATCTGCACCTGATTATTTTGTGTATTCTGAAGACGATTTACATTCCCGTTCCTCAAACGAATTTGTTCCGAATTTTATTCCCTTCTTGTCCAATTGATCCTGTAAAAAATAAATCCTTAATTAAAGATGAATTTATTATATTTTAAATAGTAATTATGCAATTTATTTGAAATATCAAATTCATATTGAAATATTAAATATTAATTCATTAAATAAAATATATAAGAAACAAATAAAAATAGAAATTAAGCAAATCTTTTTTTATTTTCTTTTAAAAAACTATAAATTTGAAAAATTGAAGTGTTATAAATATAATAATATTATTTCAGAAAACTGGAGGAAATTACCATACGGGGTTGTAGTTGCGCCTCTTTTTCTGTAATTTCTCCATTTTAGTTCTTATTTTCGCCCTTTAAAAACCAATTAGGTATAAAACAATCGTGATGAATAAACATATAAATAAAATTTGTGTCCTCAAAATTTTAAACTCTAATTTTTAGTTAAAAATAAATTCAAACATTCTTTCTAAATTATAAAATCCTGATTTTTGATATTGTTTTTAATTTGTTTAAATTTCAAAGCAACATATAATTTACTCCTAGTAATAAATTTTATTTTATTAATCTTATTATTTTTATTATTAATTTAATTTTTTTATTAAGTTATTAAATATATTTAATAACAATAGTTTTATATTAATAATTCCAATTTACTAATTTAATTTTCAATCTATTGATTTTACTTGTTTATTACAATATTTTATTATTCTTAATTACGTATAAAATAACTTATAAACCATATTTTTTTATTGTATAGAAACCAAAAACAGATTAAAAAATTTTCTAACCTCACATTTATATATGTATATATATCAATGAGACCACTTATAATTGTCATTGTTGATTATTAAACAAATAAATTCAGTGTACAAATATAATTCTAATATTGTTATGTTATATTGTTATATTTATATTTATTGCAGCATATAGAAATAGAAAAACTTACCTTGAATGAAAATAATATCTTCATGACATATATTATTTCCGCTATTTATTCCTAGATGGTGCCTCTTAATTACAATTCTATAATATTCATCATAGAAATTTCACAATCGGTGTTTTGAGATCGAATATCTTTTGCAACAATGAAGGAAACTGAAAAAATAAAAATACATTATTAATAAAAACAATTATTCGACGCCATCTTGGAAAAATTTTATATTATTTAAAACAAAAGCAGATTTCGACAGAAAAATTCTAACCAACAATGTAATTATTGTTGGAAGGAATAAAATATTTCTCAAAATTGCATATATTTAACAAAATTTTACATAATTTTACTATTTAATAGCATTTTATGTGCAACAACTATGAAAAAATACATAAGCGAAGGGGTGAAATAACCTGAATTCGACAATGTCAACTATTATCAATAATAGAGAACATATTTTATCAAAATTATTATAATACATCATGCCCCACGACTTAAACAACATTTAGAATATAAAATTTAGTGGAAAAATAAAAAATATTTACCATTTTTGATGAAAAAACTGAGAAGAATGTGGATTAACCGCCATTTATAGCACACTCCACAGCAAAAGTCGACAATAATGGACTCTCCTTGCTCTCATTGGCTGCCGTGTGAATATTGTATTCTAATTGGTGGATAAATTATTGTTCGAATTTTCAGTTAACAATATTTTATATTACGAATTAAATAATAATTACGTTAAAATTAAATATTATTTATAATTATTTAGTATTATATTTTATTATAGAAAGTATGAGGCTCTTTATATTATCGTTTTATTCTTTTAATTTGATCAGAAATAATTATTTGTTTCAGTTAATTGTTCATTTGACTAGTAATGTTAAATGAATACTTACTTCCGGTGGCGCAAGAGGAGCACAAACAATTACGTTCTGCGCCATTTTGAGTTGACATCCCGCGCGCCTTTTCTCGAAAATATCTTCTTTTTTATTGTTATATAATATATTAAGTAATGTACTTTTTTGTCTGTTTATATAATATTTATTTTTCACATTATAAGAAGAGTGAAAATATGAAGAAGATTAACATCTGTTAATAATAATGAGATGTGCACGCACTGATGTCAAAATCCACAATTCAAGGTAACCTCAAAATTTTTTACTTCTACATTGGAATGAATAATTTCGAAAATTTTCATTATCCTTTAACCCTTTTTCCTAAAAGTGACTAAAAATAATAAGTGATACATAGATTTTAATATTTTTTTATAAATTTGCTAAGGAGTGGTAGATTTAATATTGTTTTGAACTGATGACATTCGGGTTTCCCATATAGCTACCTCGTCAGTAAATTTAGTGAAATGTTTTTTTAATTCCTATTTATTTTATATTAATTGTGTAATAAGTTACCATACGTGTATTAATATTTAAAATTAACCTCAAAAGTTCGTTTATTTCTATATTTTTCGATATTTTCAAAAATATGATAAATATGTTCCAATTAGCAATTTATTTTCTTTTAGGATCATCTTAGAAAAAGAATAATAACAATCGTAGCAGATTTATTTGGCTTCATAAATTTAATTTTTCTGCATATATTACATGAAACTCTTGTGAATTTGAAAAATAAATTTAAATGAAAAAACAAAGAACGGAAGTAAAAAGCAAACTTTGGAAGAACTCCAATTTGATGCTTCACATTTACAGCAGAGGTACATTTTTTAATTAAATATAATTTAGTACCTATGTTTTTTTTTTATTAATTATAATTATTTAATAAATGGTAAATATTCTATGTAAATATAACATAGTATTTTTTTTATTATTTATAATTGTATTTTACAATATTGTTATTTATATTATTTGTTTACCAGAATATCTTAAAAATGAGTTTTTAAATAAGTTATTTTTCTTTAATTTATATTTTGACATTTTTTTATATACTTTTATATTTACAGGAAGGTCAGAAAAGAGTATGAGGAGAAAAGAAGCTTATTTAGAAGAAGCGATGTCGACACACTCTGCGGTGGGAATACCCGATAGGTGAGTCTCGTCTGTTTTGACAAATTGAGAAACATCCATTAAAATTTCTCTTTAATATTTTAGTTTTCAAAATATAATTTTTTAATAGTAATAGCATATTAAAAAATACTTTATAATAATAATGGTACATTCTTAATTACATAATATTAATAATAAGATTAATAAAATAAAATTTAATACTGGTAGTAAATTATTTGTTACTTTGAAATTTGAACAAATTAAAAACAATACAAAAAATTAAGATTTTATAATTTAAAAAGAATGTTTGAATTTATTTTTAACTAAAAATTAGAGTTTAAAATTTTGAGGACACAAATTTTATTTATGTGTGTATTCATCACGATTGTTTTATACTAACCTGATTTTTTTTTTAGAGAGCGAAAATAAGAACTAAAATGGAGAAACTACAGAAAAACAGGCGCAACTACAACCCCGTATGGTAATTTCCTCCAGTTTTCTGAAATAATATTATTATATTTATAACACTTCAATTTTTCAAATTTATAGTTTTTTAAAAGAAAATAAAAAAAGATTTGCTTAATTTCTATTTTTATTTGTTTCTTATATATTTTATTTAATGAATTAATATTTAATATTTCAATATGAATTTAATATTTCAAATAAATTGCATAATTACTATTTAAAATATAATAAATTCATCTTTAATTAAGGATTTATTTTTTTTAGGATCAATTGGACAAGAAAGGAATAAAATACGGAACAAATTCGTTTGAGGAACGGGAATGTAAATCGTCTTCAGAATACACAAAATAATCAGGTGCAGGTTAAGAAGAATTCATTTCTCGCCGATGGACATGATGCAGAAGGAGGAGAGAAGCAGATCCCGTAGGAGAGATGCTGACATTGTTTGCCGATTGGAATTCGCCGATCGGTGAGTCCCTCCTGTCATGAGAGATGTGGCCACGGCAGGTTGTAATTAACTTGCAAAATCTCTAAGTGACCGCTAATTAAATCAATATGAAAATGATGTTTCAAACATTTGAAAATTTATTTAATTAGTGAGTAGATATTTTTATATTGTTTATATTATGTCTTAGATCAGAAAGCTCTTTCCCTTGGTTCTCGGAAAAACTTTTTATCCAAAATTAAATTTTGTTTTATCATCGGTTTTAATGTTACTTAAAATTCGTTATATTTTTAAACCAAAAAAGGGCTGTTTTTTTTAATCTTAATTAATTTACAACTTCTTTTTCTATTTTATTTATTTGATCAGAAATATTTTTTTTATAATCTATTGTTTAAAATTTTTTAGTAATTACTACTTTTATTTAGATCTTTTTGCTTTTTTTATCATTATTAAAAATAATAATTTCTACTCATATTCTAGAACAGGATTTTAATCAATTTTTTCTTTCAGGTTTTAAAAAAGGTACATGTTTATTGCTTTTTTTTTTATCGGAAGTCATGAATCTTTGAATTCGTGACTTCTGATAACTTTTTTATCTACTTTGTCACTTTGCGATTTTGTCCTTTCTTTTACCACATCTAATTTTTTTTGTTTCATCTTGTGTATATTTTAAAAATTGCCAAGTTTGTTCTGATAGAATAATAACTTCTGAAGTTATTTAATATTATAAATAATTTTGATAAATATACTATTATTATTTACTATACTTAAATAATATAAGTGAATAAATCACATTAATATCATTTTAACAAGATGTTAAAAATAATAATAACTATTTCAATATTACAAAGACACTTTGTGAATATATTCTTTTTAAAGAATGTTAATTACTTTTTAAAATTATAATATCACGTCCTCTATTTACATGAGAATTTTTAATTACTATTAGAAATAAATGTTAAAGTTCTCAACTGATTATAGGGATAATTTCAAGGAGTTATATTACATATTACGAAGCTTCCCATCAGATAAGTGTGTAATAATAAGAGCCCCATCTGATTAATAGATAGTTTGTTGATTAATAGATATAGAGTTTACCATCTGTTTCACGAAAATGTCAATCTCGATTGGCGTCTAAACGAATCAGAGTGTAATGACTCACGTTACATACTATCCATTCGAGAATCAGACGCCAAAGGACGTTATAGTTGGATCGTTTTGATAAAATGCTCGCGGCATTACACAAGTGGGAATAGATATGGAAATGCGAAGAGAGGGTGTCGGATCTTTATAATACCAGAGGCGAGTAAATGTCAACAATCTTTAGGTGTTTGCAATTTTAATGTGACTTCAAATTTATATTGCGGAAGTACATTTTATAATCATTGTCCATTCACAAATAGACATTTTGTTGCTTAATGTCTAATTATTTAAGAATAATTTTATATTCAATATCTACGAACAGTATATTAAATATAAAAAATATTTCTTTAATTATTATAATTTTAATATTAATTAAAATTATTTCTTTGGTTAAAGCAATTAATTTTGTTGCTTTGGTTTCTTGTTTTTAATAATTTTTCGAAATATTTTTATTCAGTAGTGAATAATTTTTTTCCAATTGTCATAAATAAAAGTAAACTTTTCCGATAGTAATAAATAATAATTTTGAACTTCTGCTAGTAGGTAAATCAAACTATTTGCAATTGCAGGTCGCAATTATGAGAATAATAGTTTTTCCTTCACGATTAATGATTGATGCTGTGCCATTTTGAAACAACCCTTCAAAAAAAAAAAGGAAAAAAAAAATTCGTTCGCACATATAATATGAGATTAACATGAACTTCAAGTATAAGTGTAATGATAGGTTGAGTTTATAGATTAAAAAAGACGATCAGAAAAGTATGCAACAATAATCGTAACAGATTTGAGCTTCTTTTTTTTTCTCTTGATAAATGACAATAATTGACAACAATTGGGAATCACGTTCGCAAAGGACAAAGATGCAACTTCTATTTGCAGATTTAAACTTTCTATCGTGATAAACAGTCGTTTACGTGATTTCTTTTACTTTTGAGGTTGCATTTCATCACATTGTATTCCAATGTACGAGATATAGTGACGAAACTTTCGACACAGTTGGAAGGTCGACTGAAGATAATCTACTACCAGGATTTTCCATTTTGACTTAGCTTTTCCTTAAAGCTCGGAAGATTTGCATAAATTCAATAATCCTCATACATTGAAACCAGTTTCGAATGTTTAAAGAAATTCTTTAAATTTTCAAAAACTAAAATAAAAAGGAAAAAGATTTCTAAAAATTCATTGTGAGAGAATAAGAAAAAAGGAAAAAAAAATAATAAGAAAGAATAGAAAGAAGTATAGAAAATCAAAGAATAGTATTTGAAAAAGAAATTCGATCTACATTTATATGGTGCTGTGTATAGATTACGCGACTCGCGAGATTAAACAATTAGAGTTTGGATAAAGTAAACGATCTTTTCCTGATGAGAAAGATAACGAGCACGATCAATAGACGAATCGAGGAGAAAGTCGTCGTTTTCTTTCGGTTTATAATAGGTACAATCACTTGAATAGTCAAGACGAAGCGCACGAGTTCATATCTAACTTTAAAGAACATTTATACGGGACTCCTTAAGAATAATGTATCATTCCAACAAGAGGAATGATGAAAGAGCAGCGACACATAAGGAACGTATTTTCTATAATTTTATTTATTTCTGATGAGGTCACTTATGTAATTTCCCGATTTAAATCCATATTATCGACTCATCTTCTCTTCAAAATTAATTCTCATATATTGGAACCTTTCACATCTTTTTTTTTCCTCAAACTATTTTTTAAATATTTATTATTTAGAAAAAATCAATTTTCAAATTTTTTATAAGAAATTTTCTTATAAGATCCAATTTCCTTTCAAGTCAAACGTTATTATTAAATCGAGGGTTTATTATAATAAGTGAAAAAAATTATGTTTAAGTTTTTTATACTTAACTAGCATAAATCAGTGATATAAATATTGACTCTGAAATTAATTTTATATTCTTTAACGATAAAATGTACTTCATCTTCTTCATAAATATTTATGATCCACCCACCTACAGTGTGTCACCTAGGAAATGCATAATATAACATATTACTCTCTTTCGTGAAAATATGTAAGCATAGAATTTCTAACAATGTTTCATATAAAAATATGATCATGAATTATTTTTGAAAATTTATAGTTACCTATAAATTTTATTTTTTTTAATGAATAAATAATTTTTTTTTGCTTCCTCGTGGAGGAAGCTTTGTAGTCCTTTCGTTTGTAAAACTTTTCAAAGTGGCGGAAACAAATTTTTTTCTTTATAGAAACATGTTATATGAGATCCTGATCAATTGTCCGGATGTATGTATGTGTGTGTGTGTGTGGATCCCTTTTTTGTTTAGAAGATAACTTTAACAGGTTTTAATGGATTTAGATTAAATTTAGTAGGCTCATTTATCATATTAATATCTCAAATCTGTCCAAAGGATTTTGAAAAATACTCAAAAAAAAAAAAATTTTATTGTCTTTTTTCCAAAAATTTTTTTTTAATCAAAAAAATTTTTAAATAGAAAAATTTAAGGTTATATATAATAAAGTCGTATTCTTTACGTCAAGACGAATCGATCGATATATATAAAGTATTCATTTCAGGTAAATTTAAAGAATTAATGAAAGTTAAAAAATCAAAAATTCACATTTTGTCAATAAAATTTTGCTTTATCCACGAGGAAGCAAATTTTTTTGCTGATCGTAAAGAGGAAGCAAAATGTTCATGTAATGAACATCTGAATTTACAACTTGTTTTATTTATTATTTGATTTTGATATTTTACTCTATAGCTACTTTTTTCTTAGTTAAACTATTAATATTATAGAATTCAATTATTGATTTTTCGATATTTTCTCAAATTTTCGCCGTGTTCTCATAATTTTCAATTTTGATCAAAAGGAATAAGGAAGTGCAGTAACTCTCAATTAGGGTGTCTATTAATCGATTAAGAGAATTTCGATGTAAGATCAGTGTTGAGAACTGAAAATTGTATATATAGATTTTAACTTAACATACACACATATATATATATATATATATATATATATATTATGCAATTATCTGAAAGCAGTGTGTGGTACAGTCGCTTCGTTTAATTAGTTCTCTCTCAGTCTTGCTTTCGCCAACACATTCGTGCCACATATTAACTTCCGCATTAACTTCGACTGATCTATTCTTTCTCCTTATTTCATTGAAAATATTTCTATAATCAATTATTGTCAATCAATAAATATATTCACAATTTACTTTATTTAATATAATTTTTCTAAAAAAAAGTTGAGAAAAAAAAATTAAAAAAGAAACATAATTACCCGTTAATTACAAATAAATAAACATAAACGTTAGTAAGAGTTTTACTAATATTGATTGTATAATAAAAATCAACATATTTTCATTAAGAAGTTTAAATTAAATATTATAGATAGTAAACAGTGTGTATGACACAATAAGAATTTCTTTGGCATGCATTCAAGCTAAATAATGTATTCCCACACTGTTTCATTTTGCTTCGTCAATGAATATCGTCAAGTGCAATACAAGAATCTCGCGATCTCACTAGAATAGAAAAAAAATATATGAAAAAATGAAAAAATATTCGCGATTTTATCAAAATATTGAGACATAGTAACTTTTTCTTTTTAATATATATATGTTAAAATAAATTGAATTTTCGGTTTAAATATATAAAAGCAATATTTCTGTTAAATAAACAACTGATAATTTAAAAAGGAAATTAAAAATAAATAACAAAATTAAATAAAAAGAAGGCAAAATAAAATAATATTATAATTATAAATTATATTATAATTATAATATTATATTATTAATTATAAAACGATATATTTCAGGACTTAATAATTATTTAAAAATAATAATTAAATAATAATATTATTATGATTTTCTGTTTAATTATAAAAAGCAATATTAAATAAACAACTATTTAAAAAATGAAAGTAACAATAAAATAGTTAAAAATAAAAACAATGTCATTCCAGGACTTAATTTATTTTAAATATTATTATTATTATTACTATATTCTTATTATTCATTTTTTTCTTTTTATTATTTATTTATTATTACTATATCCATTATATTTTATTGTTCGTATATTTTTTCCATGACTAATAAGATGGCATTGCGTGCGAATAAAATAAATTCGAACATAAACGGAGCTCTTTTTATTGCTCTTATTCATCACGAGGGGGAAAAAGAAATGACATTGCAAGGTTGCGGTACTTCCTCTGGCGAACGGTTCATTTATATTAGTGCAAAGACCCTGACCGCCAGCAAAAACCTATCTCTCTCATATATAATGCGTTTTAGCACAGTATTTGATTCATCAATTATTATATTACTAATTCTATATATAAGCGAGAGATGAGAGACGCTCGTTTACTTCCAAACATAGCATTAAATCTTATATATCTGCGTGAATTGTATTATGAAATTTGCTTCATAAAACATAAAGTATACCTGCTAGTTATCAAGATAACCATAGTATTATATTATTTTTTAAAACCTTTTATGAAAATTCTTCTGCAACACTATATGTATGTATATATATATATATATATATATATATATATATATATATATATTTATATACACGTATTCTTATACATTGTTGGGACAATCATTCGTTCAGTGATTTTATGGTGAAATATTATTGCTTCGTCTGCAGGTCAAAGAGGTCGATATCGCATTCTTTAGGGAGGAAAAAAGATTAAATAAATTTAAAAAAGGTATAATTTTACCTATAAGTGCGAGTTTATATATTTTAAATTGTTCACTGAAAAAAGGGTTTGGTATTGACAACCAAACGTTTGGTTGGTATTTAAGCAACCAAAATTTTTTTGTTGAATCAACAAAATTTTAATTGTATCAATAAAAATTTGTTTGATACAACCAAAATTAGAAAAAAAGGATTTTTGTTGCCCTAACTAAAGTTTGATTGGAACAACCAAAATTTTGTTGGTTCAACAAAAAAATTTTGGTTCCTTAAATACCAACCAAACGTTTGGTTGTTAATACCAAACCTTTTTTTCAGTGTTATATTTTTGAAATTTCAATTTTTTTTTTTTTTTTTTTTTTGCTTTAATTGTTGTACTGAAGCTCAGCCTACACTGAAAATTTTATTTAATTTAAATAAAAAATTTATTTGAGACAAAAATTTATTTATGACAAAATTTTTATTTACGCCAAATAAATTAGTAGGCTTTGAGACAAGTATTTGTTTATTTAACTCAAATACATTTTATTTGGTTCAAATAAATCATTTCTCTGGATGTATACTTTACCTCAAGTTTAGTAATATTTCCCGCTTTACATCCAGAGAAATTATTATATTTGTCTCATGAGCCAAATAAATATTTATATGTTTTAAATAAATTTTATTTCTCCTAAATAATTTATTTATTTGTTATAATTTTTTTCTTCTAAAAATTCATATTTGTTTTTCTTTGCTACAAGCAAATATTTAAATTTATTTTCCTTCTGATCATATAAAGTGTCATCATTAGCTTGGAATGTCTGAAATGAGAGCCAATACTCTCTCTCAAAAATGGACAATGTCCTAAATAACGACGTGATTCCGAAAATGGTTGGTTGATTGCTCCTCTTTGTCACGATGTCATCATGACCGCGATCCTCTAGACTCATCCTCTATTTTAAGAAATAATTTTCTATTTTTCTCATTGAAGAAAAATATATAATTATAATCAGAAGAAATATACATTTCAGAAAAAAAATTTTTTTTAATAATTTTTAATATTAACAAAAGCTTATAGGAATATTTAGCGAATTTCATCATTGAAAATTTATTTATTTCCCACGTGTTTGAATAAAATTGTGCGACAATGTTTTGAGTATCGGATATTTAAAATCACGTGTCACGAGAGGTGAAATTAGTCGCAAAAAGATGCTGGATACACACGGTAGCCCCACCATAAAATAAATGAATAATAAAATTACAGGATCGATAATCGCGGGATATCCCTTTTGCAATAGCCATCACGCATAGCAAAAGAAGATGAGCTATGCAAACATTCCTCTTGCGTAAATATCTGATTTCAGGCAAAAAAAAAATATCTCCCGCATATTTATGAAATCTCAAACATTTCAAAGACATTCAAACAATTTAATTCGTTGATAATCACAATGTTACGACAATTTTTCATTATCTTCGAAAAACTGTACTATTGTTTTATCGTGCATTGTAGTGGTTGAATAAAATTTATGACGCATCGAGTCTGTAAATCGAGAACTGTATATTTTACTCATAACATTTCAATTCAATAGGGTTTTTATTAGAAAATCGATTCTAACAGCAATGAAAATATTATATCGTCATAAGATTTCAATGCGCGGATATTCATATGATTAAAGTTTCATAATTTTTTTTTTATTTTATATTAAAATGTACATAAAAATTATTATTTTTATTCAGTATTATCATCTTCAAACTTGTTTTATTTTATGTTTTGTAATTTTTATTAAGAAATTTATTTTTTTTTTATAAGAATAATGTTAAAGAAAAATAGTTTTTTAAACGATAAATTCAAGAATAAAATTAATTAAATCAGTGAAACAGAATTTTTTTGATTTAAAAAAATTGTTCATTAAAATAAAATATTCCGCATTGATATTAATTAATAAATTAAATTAATTGGGAAGGAAAAAACAAATTTTAAATGGAAATTAATATTGCAATTTGTCCAATTACCATTTGAAATGTTTGAGTATTACTTAATGATTAACAATTTGCTAGTCAGACTATACAAAAAATCACTATAGTTCTTCCCTTGATTTCTCCAATTATAAATTTTTTTTCTACATATATTTTTTGAGATAAAAATGACAGATGTAATAGACTTGATGCAATGAATATCTAAGATTACGATTACCTTATAGAATTTTGCGGTTTTTGAGTTATATATGAATTATTCATGTATATGGAAAATTAGTTTTCTGTATATATATATATATATATATATATAGAAAATTGAATTAAATCGAATTAAATTAAATTAAAATACCATAGAGAAGCTTTACACGACAGCAGTCAAATTGTTACAAAATTTATGGGAATTTTTTTTTTTTTTTTATTAGAATAATGAGATTCAGTGTAATATGAACATCAATGTAACTTTATATCTTTCAGGGTGTATATACACGCCTGAAATGACTAATTATAATAATAAGACCAGAGGGAAAGGAATAATGTGGAAATATATGTGTTAAAGGATTTCTTAAGTAAGTTAATAAACTGATTATTTGCAAAGGTGTTTCCTTTATTTCGCGTATAAAATATACATAATGGCATCCCACGAAGGAGTCACAAACCATTGTTATAAAAAAAATAGATAGATTATGATTACTGTCATTTTATTATAGAAAAATCTGCTAATATTATTGAGCGAGGCGCAAAAAAAAAACCGCTCAAAACACAACGAAAAGTTTGTTTTTTTTTTTACTCAATTTTTTTAATTTTGTAGAATTTACATCGAAACTCTTTCTTAAAATGAGCATCATTTCAAATGAATTTTACATATTATGTAAAATTTATTTGACAATTATAGTGAAATACTTGGTTCAATAATAATTGATTCAATTTTCACAATTCGTATCATATAAAATAATAAAATGAATCTAAAATAAAAATTCTGTTCTCTAATAATAACATGAAATCTTTTTAAGTTTCCAAGTTTCTTATTTATGGAATTAATCTATGACACTTGACAAATTCTTCTGTAATTCAACTAAGATATAGGAAAAATGTTAATATTATAAATAACGCACTTAGCAGAATTTAGGCACGATGCTTTTGTAGATAGTCGAAAAATGACTTTTCATTTTCTAAACATTTGAAAATTAATTGGTGCCTATTATTCATTAATGGTAACTTCATTAAATATTCAATAAGTGAATAAATAAATTTTCAACTTTTCATAAAAAAAAAAAAAATTTTACATTTGAAACAAAATTGTAATTTGTTAAAGGGTTCAAAATGAAAGAAAACTAAAAAATACTGATAGCTTCAAATTCGGACGAATTGTCTTATGTAAATAGAAAACAATTATATTTATCTAACTGATATCGTCAATGAACGACATTTGAGTTGCTTAACACTTAACTTACTTGGTAGGAGAGGCTCGTATTTACACATCCGGCACCAACGATGGTGGGGATTCGCAAAAAAAAAAAAAAAAATAATTTCCACTACAATTGTAGAATTTTATCGATTTCCTCGAGTCAGGAATATCTTCTAAAGAATAAAATATCCGCGCATGATAAAAGTATCATGAAAATTTTGTTGTCCAGAATGAAATAATTGAAGTTAGATGAGGTCGAGATGTGATTGAATTTAGTATTTGTTAAAAATGGCCAATAATAATTAGCCAGCGAGTGGCGGTAAATATTCACGATCTGGTTTTGCTGGTCCCTCAGGTGGGAAAGGAGAATCTGGTCCTTGTGGACCCTGTCCAGGGTAACTTGGTCGTTGTCCAGGACTACTTGGACTTTGTGGTCTTTGTCCAGGATAACTACCGGGTCCCTGAGGACTTTGTCCTGGAAGAGGTGTGAGATAACCAGGACCGCTTGGTCTTTGAGGACCTTGCGGACTCTGTCCTGGGAAACTGGGTCCACTTGGTCCTTGTGGACCTTGTCCTGGGAAACTAGGTCCACTTGGTCCCTGCGGACTTTGACCTGGAAAACTAGGTCCTGAGGGCCTTCCTTGTCCTGGATATCCACTAGGTCCTTGAGGACTTTGTCCTGGGAAACTTGGTCCACTTGGTCCTTGAGGACTCTGTCCTGGAAAACCAGGTCCACTTGGTCTTCCTTGTCCTGGATATCCACTAGGGCCTTGAGGGCCTTGTCCTGGGAAACTAGGTCCGCTTGGTCCTTGCGGACCTTGACCTGGAAAACTGGGTCCACTAGGACCTTGAGGACCTTGTCCTGGTCTTCCTGAACCCGGATATGTTCCACTTGGTCCTTGTCCGGGTGATGCTGGTCCATTTGGTCCTTGAGGACCTTGTCCAGGAAAATCAGGTCCTCTCGGTCCTTGTCCACCTGGGCCTTGAGGACCAAGTGGTCCCATTGGTCCTTGGGGTCCCATTATTGTATAATCGTAAAGATTTTCATTCAAGTAATACAAGCCTGGAGCTGAATTGCAATCGAATTGATTCCACCACACGCAAACAAAGTATTCTTGATTAAAGATAGTTCCATTAGGACAGAGGAAGTCGTACGTTTGATTGTTGTGGCATATATGGAAGACTTGACATTGAGTATCAACATCAGCGTAATATCCGGGGAATTGTTGGGAATCACAGCTGAAACTAGTTTGAGGAATATCAGCATAAATAGGATAATCCTGACCAGGTTCACCAGGTATTGCTGAGTAATCTCCTTCATTGTATGTTCCATCGTCACCATGTCCACCTGATGAACCGCCAGGAAAACTGCCACCAGGACCTCCCCCTGGAAATTGTCCACCTGGTTGACCACTTGATCCTGATCCAGGTCTGTCAGAACCTGGAAATTGTCCACCAGGTTGACCACTCGATCCAGGATATCCACCTGATCCAGGTCTTTCTCCTCCTGGAAATTGTCCGCCTGGTTGACTGCTTGGTCCAGAACCTGGATATCCTCCGGATCCTGGTCTCTCTCCTCCTGGAAATTGTCCACCAGGTTGAGAGCTTGGTCCAGGTCCAGGATATCCTCCTGATCCGGGTCCTCCACTTGGATATTGTCCGCCAGGTTGACTGCTGGGTCCAGATCCTGGATATCCTCCAGATCCGGGTCTTTCTCCACCTGGGAATGGAGTCTTAGTTCCACTTCCGCCACTTGGATATCCTCCAGATTGACCAGGTCGTTGCCCAGGTTTACCAGGATAACCTGAGAAACATTTCGTTTATAGATCATTTTTTTGTTACTTCACTTATTATGATTAAAAAACTTTTTTCAAACTGATTATTTCATAAAATTTGTCATAAGTACCTGGGCCTCCACTTCCGTCAGTTGAACCACCAGAAGGTGTTGATGGAAATCCTCCTGAGCCTGGTCTATCTTCACCTGGAAACGAAGTTGATGGTCGTCCACTTGGGTATCCTGATCCTTGTGATCCAGTACCACCTGATGGATATCCTCCAGGTTGACTAGGTCTTCCAGGTTGGCTAGGATAACCTTATGATCAACAAAAAAAAATCACAAATTAATATTTAATAAAAAATATTCCTCATTTTTTTTGCTGAACGGTTCAGTTTAAGGTATTGTAAATGTTGTACTTGTACCTTGAGATCCAGAACCACTTGTTCCTGGTCTATCAACACTGGGAAATGGAGTCGAGGGTCGACTACTTGGATAGCCTGATCCTGGCGTTTTAGTTCCACTTGACGGGTATCCTCCAGACTGATCAGATTGACCAGGTCTACCAGATTGTCCAGGATAACCTAAAAATCATAAATCAATAGCAGTATCTTAACTTTTACCCTTTTTTCTCAATTTTGATTTGGAAAACAATAAAATATTAGACTAGCCTTGAGATCCAGTTCCAGTACTTGGAAAACCAGAACCGGGCCGTTCTCCACTTGGAAATGAAGTAGAAGGCCTTCCATTTCCAGGATAACCTGGCTGTTTAGTAGTACCAGGTGAAGAAGGATATCCTCCGCTTGGTTTGTCACCTGTTCCTGGTGAAGATGGAAAAGGTACTGATGGTCTTTCTTTAGGATATCCTTCAAACGTGTCTGAGCCACTCGATCCAGGAGATGACTGAAATTTTATATATTCAATTTTCCAACATGTCCAATAAAATATAAAACGATCAAAATATAATTTAACATCAAGTGCTTACTGGTCGTTGACCACCTGGTCTTGAAGATCCTGGATAGCCATTACCACTTGGTCCCTGCGGTCCTTGACCTGGAAAACTCGGTCCTGATGGACTCTGTCCAGGTCTTCCAGGTTCTGGATATCCTCCTCCAGTAGGACCCTGAGGAGTTTGTCCTGGAAAACTTGGTCTACTTGGTGATTGCGGACTTTGTCCTGGAAATCCAGGTCCTGTTGGTCTTCCAGGGCCTGGATATCCACCACTTGGTCCCTGCGGACTTTGCCCTGGGGAACTAGGTCCACTAGGTCTACCAGGTCCTGGATATCCTCCACTCGGTCCTTGAGGGCTCTGTCCAGGAAAGCTTGGTCCACTTGGTCCTTGAGGACTCTGTCCAGGAAAACTTGGTCCAGTAGGTCTTCCAGGTCCTGGATATCCTCCACTAGGTCCTTGAGGGCTCTGTCCCGGAAAACTGGGTCCGCTAGGTCTCTGAGGACCCTGCCCTGGAAAACTAGGACCGCTTGGTCCTTGAGGTGGAAAGCTAGGTCCACTTGGCCTTCCAGGACCTGGGTATCCATCACTAGGTCCCTGAGGGCTCTGTCCTGGAAAACTGGGTCCACTAGGTCTTCCTTGTCCGGGATATCCTCCTCCACTAGGTCCCTGAGGGCTCTGTCCAGGGAAGCTTGGTCCATTTGGTCCTTGAGAACTTTGTCCAGGGAAGCTGGGTCCACTTGGTCTTCCAGGTCCTGGATATCCATCACTAGGTCCTTGAGGACTCTGACCTGGGAAACTGGGTCTACTTGGTCCTTGAGGGCTCTGTCCAGGAAAACTGGGACCACTTGGTCCTTGTGTTGGAAAGCTTGGTCCACTCGGTCTTCCAGGTCCTGGATATCCTCCACTTGGTCCCTGAGGACTCTGTCCTGGGAAACTGGGGCCACTTGGTCCTTGCGGACTCTGTCCGGGAAAACTTGGACCACTTGGTCTTCCTGGTCCTGGATATCCTCCACTAGGTCCTTGAGGGCTTTGTCCAGGAAAGCTGGGTCCTTGTGGACTTTGTCCAGGGAAACTAGGACCACTTGGTCTTCCTTGTCCTGGATATCCTCCTCCACTAGGTCCTTGAGGACTCTGTCCTGGGTAACTGGGTCCACTTGGTCCTTGCGGGCTCTGTCCAGGAAAACTGGGACCACTTGGTCTTCCAGGTCCTGGATATCCACCACTAGGTCCTTGCGGACTTTGTCCTGGAAAGCTGGGTCCTTGTGGACTTTGTCCAGGGAAACTAGGACCACTTGGTCTTCCTTGTCCTGGATAGCCACCACTAGGACCCTGCGGACTCTGTCCTGGAAAGCTAGGTCCACTTGGTCCTTGGCCAGGAAAACTTGGTCCGCTCGGTCTTCCAGGTCCTGGATATCCTTCACCAGGTCCTTGAGGACTTTGTCCTGGAAAACTTGGCCCTTGAGGGCCCTGTGCAGGACCGCTTGGTCTTCCTTGTCCTGGATATCCTCCACTTGGTCCCTGCGGACTCTGTCCTGGAAAGCTGGGTCCACTTGGTCTTCCAGAACCTGGATAACCAGGTTCCTGTCGTCCTTGACCTGGTGAGCTGGGTTCACCTGGTCCTTGAGGTCTTCCTGGAGTTGTCTTTGAAGGACCTGACCCTGGATAACCTCCACCATTAGATGGAGATTTGTTCCCACTTGGTACACCTGGTATCAGAGGATTTTTAGGTCGTGGATAGTCATATCCTTCGTCTTCTTGAGCCTAATAACATAGAATAATAAATTGATGTTCTGTTGCACAGGAATCTTGATTGAAGAGTGACTCGTGCTTGATTGATGATGAGTCAGAGATTTCTTGAAGTATGCCATTAGGCAGGTGGTATTAAAGTGGAGTTATTTAAAATCTAATTGTAATTTGAAGTCTATTTTTAGTTTTTTTTTTTTTTTGCATTTATCTCGTTGGCAATGATCTTTTGACATTTTTCATAAACAAAAGGTTGTTTCAGCATCGACAATATTTGCAGGTTTGCTTTGAGACAGCTCAAAGTAAGTACATGTCTCTGGTGACAGCGACCTTTCAGTTGGAAAAAGTTTTGAACAATCTCATCATTGTATCTTCGCTCTTACACTTGTTATTTTATAAATTAATTGTATACACTTGAAAGTTTTAGACTTAATAACGAAAGGATTCAACTAACATTTCATTGACGAATGAAAAAAAAAATTATTTTAAATTGCTTTTTCTTATAAGATACAAAATAGTTCATTTATTTTTATAAAAAAAAAAAAAAAATGTTTGATTCTAATCTATTTTTAAACAAATTGGTTTTTCTCTCAAATAATTAACTTTTTAAATCTTCTTCCTCGTTTGAAGTTTTCACTTTTCAGCATAAAATGAATTCCGATCTTGGTTAAAATTACCGTTTAGTCTTTGAATTTCAGAGGTTTTAAAAATATTTGAATAAATTATCATAATAATAAAAGGGGCGAAAGAGAGAGAGAGAGAGAAAAAAAAGTAGGAAGTTGCAGAACTTTTGTAAATTTAGTTTTGTAAACTTACCAGAGTTGTATGGACGATAGCCAGCGAGGCTGAAACAGAGGAAACGAAATTAGTGTGAATCTCGACGAGCGTTTCTTTAGTGTGTTATACCATTGCAAAAGAGAATAGTCTCAAGATATATAGAAAGAGAGAGAAAGAAAGAGATTCGTAATCTTCAAGAATTCAATGTACTCGACTATTTTCTTTCGATGTGTGTTTGTTTAAATTTATATACGTATATTCCAATCATGTCTCGCGTCTCTTCAACCGAGTGTGAGAATTCCAAATCTGTCGCCCTTTGTGTCATATACACGACAATGCACCTAATTAATTAGCGGGAAGTTATGTCAGACATTTTTCAAACTATTTCAATTCTAGTGTGAGATTCACACGCACGTTTATTTGCGATCAGTCAACTTGCGTGCCAACTATTACATCTTTTGCATTTCTTGTGCGAATTGTTGTTTATTTGAACTTTTAACTATTTTATTCCTAATTTAACACCTTTTTTCATCATAAAAAAAAAATTTCAGAATAAAAATAGCAATAGTAAATAAATTATTTTAATTGAATAAATTTATTGTTACTTTTTGGCTAATTAAAAAAAATTAATCAAATAATACAATTGTTTTTAATTATATAATTAAATAAAAATTTTTGCTAATCCGTCTGTCGTACAATAGTATGGTTACCATGGTAACAGTTACCGAAGCAATCGTTACCTTAGCAATTGTACACTGAAAAAAAAATTTATTTGATTCAAATAATCGGTTACTTGACTATTATTAAATAAATATTTATTTGTATCAAATAATTATTATTTGAGATTGTATTTGTTTTAAATAAAGAAATTATTATTTCAAATACAGTTTATTTAATTCAAATAAAAATTATTTGGTTCAAGTAAATATTTATTTGATAATAGTCAAGTTATCGAGTATATTTGAATTAAATAAATTTTTTTTTATCGTAAATAATTGTAAAGTGCTAAATGATTTGTTGTTATGAACAAAAGATTAAACACATGTAAATTTGAAAAAAGATTATTATATCTGAAAAAAAATCATTTATAATCAACGTATGTAATCGGAGAATTTTTGATGATAAGATGATATTATACCTTCTTTTGTACAATCGGAATCTAACCCGAACGTGCAACAGACCCGTAAATTAGTAATGAGTGTATAATTGCACAACAACTTACTGCATACACTTGACCTTTATTTTAAATGGGGGGATAGGCTTAAACCGTAAACGAATACATAGTGTAAAAAATCTTTGAACAATGCCACTGTGCAAAAACCTGTGTAACTTATCTTCAATTTATTTTAATTAGGAAGGAAGTTACGAAAAATTGTAATCAACTCGAGGCCCTTGTCGAAATTTCGATTCTATACAAAAGATTTTGCTCGATTTTTTAATTAAACTCCGGGTCGTGTAGTTACAAAATTTCATAGAGAAATTATTCATATTCGAAAAAAAAAAAATTTATTTATTATTATTTTATTAATAATTTTATTAAAGTAATAATATTAAAATTTTTGGCAAATGAATGTTTTGTGTTATTATAAATAATTTTTATTTTTTAATATTGTATTTCAATTATTTACTTCGATGGACAAAGAATTTCAATTTACTTTTATATACTTTTGATATTGTAATTTAATTTTGTCCTTTGATTTACTATTGTTTGAAATTTTTCTCTTTCATTCGCGATTTTAATAAGTTTTTTCCAATTTTTTTTCTCTCTTCAATCGAGAGACGACAAATATGTGATTCACTGAATCATTATATAATTTATTCAATGTAGTATTGATTCAGAAAAGAAAATTCTTTTTCTTTTATTATTACTATTATTTTTATACGCATTTCTTAGTTTAATTCCTTTGAATTACTGTGCCAAAGGCCATTTGTATACAGTAATCGTTATTGTGTTTGTGATATTAGATAAGATAATCCATTACAACCTCGAAGTCTTGTTCACAAAAAGAAAAGATTTATCCTTTTAATTTTTCATATTTCAGTTTTTTTTAAAACTGTATTTTGTTTTTGCAAAAATGAGAAGAATTTTTTTAAAAATTATTCAGTAAAATAATTTATAAAAATTTTTTCTGTTAATAATAATGAATTAATTATTATTTAAAGGATTGGATTTTTTTCGAAAAGAAATTTTAGAATTAGTTATTTGCAAGTTAGTAATTCTATTGTTATTTCAAAGTTCTTTCTTTCTAATTGTTTATAGTAATTGTGATTTTTACATTTAAATAAATTAAAATTTGTTACTCACCCATCCACAACAAACACAGCCGCATGTTTGTTGCTGCTGTCCTCCTTAAATTTTTATTCTAAAATTATAAAAAAAAAATGATAGTTGATATTTTATTATTATTATTTATTTAAAAAAAAAATATATTTTTCCATCATTTCGATTGTAATCTCATGTCATTGACAGTGACAACGATATTGTTAACTTTTGTGGTTTCTCACTGAGATCGAAAACAATCTGTGATTATAAGAGAAATGGTGTAATTTACAAGTAAAAGTGAGAATAGTCAAAGTTTCTTATTGAAATTATCGTAATACTGATTACTTGTAACCTTCAATTTTTTTTTATTAAAAAAAATACTTTAATTCAATGAAATAATTGAGATTCATAAAACAAATTACAATTTTTACTCTACCCTTTAAGTTCGAAAAACACTTTTTTGAGACCAAAAAGGATAGTTAATACGAAAATTTATATTTAAAAATTTCCCTTTCCTGCAAGTGATAAATCAATCCTTTACGGAGATAAGAGACAAAACTGATTACAGATTTTTAAAAGATTTTGGCTATTTTCCAAAAATTCGATACAGTTCCTCTTCATTGATGCACAGCAATGAAAATCAAAAATTATCGCAGTCACTGGACTTTGGGAAAAAAAAAAAAAATTATATACCCATTTAGCATACACAATAGAACTTTATTTTAATCCTAAAAGAAAATGAAAAATACACTTCACGTATCACGAGTAAATGAAAACACCGATTTTTTTTTTTTTTTGTTAAGGGGTAAAACGACACATCCAACTCGAGTTTCTTTTTAATCCATGACACAAGGACTCACCTAACTTTTGATCCCTGAGTCAGGACTGAAACTGAAATCTAAGTAAGTCAGAAGGTGACTGATGGTGGAGGTGTCGTGCTAACAATTTATACCCCTGGTTAGCAAGCAAGTAAGCAAGGCACCCCAGTAAAGGAAGGTCCGTGTGCCCCACCATTGTCTCTCCGGGGATGCTTGCTCATCCACACACCATCATCCTTGATCCTCCTTCCATCTTCAATCTATGCCGATGAGATGGGATTTTGTATCGTGTTTCTCTTCGGTCTCTTGGTCCTCATTGTGGATGGGGGGGGGAGCCCATAAGCATACCATAAGAAAACGACCTCACGACCTACTCGAATAGGGAGGGGAGGAAATCTATGAGAGATGAGAGAGAGACTCTCGTGGGAGGGCAAAACCCAACGCAAAAACCGGGGTTAGTGAAAGTGATACAACATTGCAACTGGAGTAACATCTTCTATTCTCGCGCGCGGTCCTTTACTTCTTTATACATGAGAAATACGCGAAAAATCCCTCTCGATGTTATTATGACACTAGACTCTAATCACGTCTCGAGACATTTACTTTTGCCACTTGAGCAGTCTTATAATTGTTGGTCTCTGCGATTCTAAATTAATTATAGAAGCCATAATTAAATAGTGTCAAGTTGTTTACTATTTTATGCAGTAACCATTTTCATTAAATCAATGAGATTCGATTTTTTTTCAAATCAATTACTTTTTAGTGATAATTATATATTTTTTTAAATAAATTAATTTTTCATTCATTAATATTTATTTACCATTTGACAATTTCTATTTAATCAATTTTTGACTCAATTTTTAGCAATTATTTTCACTAAACGATATAGTTAAATAGTGATTTGATGAAAGAAAAATATAGATTTTCAAACATTCGGTTAAATAAAAATTCTGGTAAATGGATTACTGTTTAAATAAAAATTAAATTAAATGGATTTTTGGCTAAATAAAAAAAACGTTAATTGGAAATTGGCAAAAATTTAACTTTCTAATCCTTGTGTTTTTTCAAACCTTCATTTAGCCAAATTTAAAGTCAGCTAAATTTTTATTTAGCCAATTTTCTATTTGGCTAAATTAAAATTTAAATAAATTTGAATTTATTGTTTTTTTTCATAGAGGAAGTATTTGATTAAAGAAAAATTCTATTGAAATAGTTATAAATGGAGTTAGATAAACAAAAATTCTGTTAAATGGATTAGTGACTTAATAAAAATTCAATTACATGGATTTTTGGCTAAATAAATAATACTGTTAAGTAAGAAGTTGTCATATAATTACTCAAACCTTCATTTAGCCGAATTTAAATTTAGCTAAATTTTTATTCAACCAAGTTTCTGTTTGTCTTAATTTCTATTTAGCTGAACTTTTATTTAGCCGAATTTCGATTTAGCTAAACTTTTATTTAGCCAAATTTCTATTTAGCTAAACTTTTATTTAGCCAAATTTCTATTTAGGTAAATTAAAATTTGGTTAAAGAAAAAAAGTTAAATTAGTTAATTGGAATTTGGTAAATATAAATTCTGTTTAATGGAAAAAAAAATTTCAATAATCATTATTTTTTTTAAAGCAATTTAGGAATAATTATAACAGAATCGTTTCTTTAGTATTAAATAGTATTTATACTGATTCATTTAAATTTTATTGAATCTCGATCTAATCTTGACAGTCAGTACTTACATTAAAATCGAAACAGTAATAAACCCGTCTCTTTGTGATTTGTTATTTCTTATTTTGTTTTAAATATGGTGATCAGTATTGCAAAAAAAAAAAAAACCCCCGACTTTCATATAATATTTCTCTTTTATGGGCAATATCGATACATTAACACGTTAGTTTATCCCTGGTGTATAATTCGCACACAATCGTATATAAGTAACACAATTGCGAGTATTCTATATTGTAATTCCTATATAGTCGTTCAGTTTAGTTGTCTTGTTAACTATATTGATTGGATGAGACAAGTTGAAATTAAAAATAATCGTTACGTATTACACTCATTATTTTGGAATAAAAATTAACAATTTTATTTTTTCATGGATTTAAAAAAATAATTAGTAAATGTTTAAATCTAATTATACAATAATTAATTAAAAAGAAAATTAATATTGTTTTATTATTATCAAACCGGATATAAAAGAATTTTATTATTAAACATCAATCGATAATACAGAAAATTGTTTTCTTTTAAAAAATATTCAATAATTACAAATTTTTTCATTCAATTGGAGAATATTTTTTCTTCTTCTTTATTTTTTAATATTATTTCTGCTTCTTTCAAATAAAATACGTAACCGAAGGTTTCAAATGGATTTCTTGCTCTTAAATCGTCATCGAATTACATTAAGGAAATTGAGTCTTTAAAGGACATTTATTGATGAGTTGCACTTCAATCTTCCATTATGGCCTTTGAAGGTCGTAAAATATACATTTCCCCTATTGCAGATTGTCAAGCTTTACTATATAGAATTTAATATTACTTTTTTTTAACAGGTGCATTTATTCTAAAACTCGAATGTTTCGAAGAAATTTGACGTGTCTATTTTTTTCATTCTCTCTCATATTGAAACTTTTTTAATTAGTTAATTATTGTGAAACTTTTTTATATGTATAGGAAAAAAAGGGTTTGCAGATTCTTAAGAATCAAGAGAAAGAAAAAATTTTTTTTTTTTTTTTTTTATTGTATTTAGACACACCTGACACTCCATCTCGATGAAAATGAGAAATCAATAACAATTGTGATAAAATTTCGCGAGAAGCGTGAATCTCTCACTTCACAGCTACTTCGCAATAAATAAGTGATTGATGACTGAAACTACTTTTAAGTCAGCGACTGTATCGAGAAAATACAATTTAGTTTATTCACTATAGATGATTGGAAATTGGATTCTGGAATTTTAATTGATCATACCAGAAATTCTTGTGAAATAATTCGCGGGAATCAAGTAAATTGACGTTAGACAATGTTAATCTTTTAATAATTAGACGTTCAACAATTGAAATATAATAAATGAAGTAATAAAATACAGTGAGATAAAATAAATAATAAAAAAAATAATATGAAATAAAAAATAATCAAAATATAATAAAAATATAATAAAAATAAAAATAATAAAAAAATATCATTGAAATAATGAAATATGTAAAATACACTGTAAAAAAAAGTTTGGCATTAACAACCAAACGTTTGGTTGGTATTTAAGCAACCAAAATTTTTTTTGTTGAATCAACAAAATTTTTGTTGTCCCAATCAAACTTTAGTTAGGACAACAACCAAACGTTTGGTTGTCAATACCAAATTCTTTTTTCAGTGTAAAATATATATAAAAAAAAACATAATTTTTAAATAAATTAATATTTAATTTAATTAATGAAACATAATTTTTTACAATAATTAATAAATTCTTAATTATGACAATTTTAATTAATTACATTGTTATAATAAATTAATTCTATTATAATTATATAACAATTTATAATAATAAAATACTGAACAAATATTAGAAAAAGTATTTTCATAAAATTTATTTAAATTTAATAAATAATAATTCGATAATATTGTTTATTTAGTAAGTTCTTCCGACATAACATTAGTAATTTGCAGTTTATCAAAATGATTTATCCTCCAAGAATTAATGCACGTTGGATTAAGGTATCGTATTATTCAATTGTAAAAGTGGACACAAATTGTTGATTCGATTTTCGCTTTCGCGTATCTCTATGTCACTGTAGAGTGTAAACATACACACACACACATAAATATATACAAATTTACGTAATTCCCACGTATAGTAAAATTTTGTTATCAAATATACAAATTTTCCTTTTTCACCGTTACAATAAATCTTTTGCGCGCATAATAGTTAAAAGCGATCAATATAATATTATATAAATTCACGGGGAATTCAGTGAGTGTGATTGATTGAATTATTCTATTCAATTAGTCGTGTCGCGCCTCTTTATTGATAAAAGCAATTTGCAACTGTTGGACATTTGCTTCAATGTTTGTTATATCGATCATTGAATAAACGTCTGTTTATTAACAGACTATAATATATATATATATAGTATATATATAAGCTCAACACAATATTGTTATCGCTTAATTCTAATCAAAATTTACATTAAATTTGCAATTAATGTGAAAAGGAGATAATGTCCATTTTGATCCTATAGAAATTTTTAATAAAAACAGTTTATGATAATAATTTTTAATTAGAATTTTTTTAATTATAAACAATTTAATAAACAATTTAATAAATAATTAAATAAATAATTAAATAAATAATTAAATAAATAATTAAATAAATAATAATAATAATAAATTACAAATAATAATGTTAATTGTAAACTAATGTCTACGATTGATAATTTAATTTTAACATACTTCAACTCCTTTTGTGTCGAATCAAAATTTCATGTAAAATTTTGTTAGGAATAAATAAAACGGGGTCATTAATTTTTTCGCAGTAAAGGATTGATAGAAAAATTAGTTGTGATGTTTAGAAAGATATTTACAATCTATGGAGATTATTAAATTCACGTGTGGGAAGTTGTGTCGTGTAATAACATGCAATCGTCAATCACCTTATGACTTTCGATATTACACAGTCAAAGTTCGCACTGTTCCCTCCCATAATTCTTAACTATACCTTAACTTTTTTATATTCTCAAGGGATTTCTTTATTGTTATCCACCATATTATTTTGTTGTCTAATATAAATTTTCAAATATAAAAAAAGAATTTGCCAAAAAAGCAAATTCAAAAAAAAAAAAAAAATTCGATTCAAATACTCGATTACTTTGATATATTTCATTGAACCAAATAATTTTTATTTGAATTAAATTTGTATTTATTAATTTTTGTATTTGAAACAAATACCATCGCAAATAATAATTATTTGATATAAATAAAATATTTATTTAATAATAGTCATTATTTGAATCAATTTTTTTTTCAATGTAAAAGAAATCGTATTTTATCCTATTTATATACCATTGGTGAGAAATTATTTGTGCAGAATGAGTCATTAATTAAATTCTTAAAACCACTAATGAGAACTGACATCAAACAGGTGTAGTTAAGTAATCGTTTGTTCACC